CTGAACCAGAGCCTCATCTACGCTGTTAAAGCCTCCTTTGTTCCTCCTGGATCTCCCCGTCTCCCCTCCTTCCCCTTAACAGCTGGTTTGTCATTTTCTTCAGTTCCATGACATGAGCAGATCTTGGTTTCCAGGGAGAAGACTGGACAGGAAGGAGGCCAGGGTATATATGAGGGTGCAGGAATCACACAACAACAGTCACACCAAAAGTTTGCCCACAGTTTTATTAAATTTTTCGCACAGGATTTATTTTCCTCTCACTATGTTGCCCAGACTAGCCTCAAGCTCTTTGACCTAAGTGATCCTCCTGCCTCAGCCTCCAAAGTAGGCTGGAACTGCAGGTGTGCCACAGGGACCAGCCTTCATTTTAAAAATATAATTTGGCCTAGGGATATGGCTTAATGGTGGAGCATTTGCCTAGTATGTGTGAGGTTCAATCCCTAGCAGTACATAAATCAATACAAATTGAAATTGATGGCATCTTCCTGGAAAAAAATACAAGCAAATAAAACAAAAGGCTCTCTCTAATTCTGGGCAGTAATAAGAACACTGTATTGTTCGGCTTAACTAAAACGTGGACTCTGTGGCTCTGCGCATGCTGTCCATGACAGCTAGTCTGTTTTGGCCTTTTCTTCTGATACCCCGAAACACAGAAGCCCTTGACTGGCTGAGTGAGGCCTCTGACCCCAAACTCTGAGTTCCCGTTGTACGCTGCCGGCACGGATGCTGTGTGTTTCAACGCAGCTGCTGTAACAAATTACTAAAAACTGATGATCTAACACAACAAAAGTTTATTTGCTCCCAGTTCTGGAGGCCACATATCCAAAATCACTGTCACTGAGCAGAAATCCAGGTGGGGGCATACCGTGCTTCCTCCAGAGGCTTCAGGGGAGAAGCGCTCCTGGCCTTGGTCCCCTCCTGGCAGCTGCTGGCCAGGCTTCACCTGGGGTCACACTGTTCTAGTCTTTAAGGCCAGCATCTGGTATCACTCCACTCTGGCTTCACAGGGCTTTCTGCCCTTGTAGATGGAGATTTTGTGAGCCTGTCAATATTGAAAGAAACGCCATTAAAGATGAAGTTTAGAATTGGCAAAGCCTTACCAAGTCCCCTTGGAAAAAAGACTGTAGACACCTAGAAATGACTCGATTCCTGGAAAATCACTGCAGAAAGTTCTATAAAGGCTGCTCCATCTCATCCCCTCGCTCCCCTGGTTTCCTCCCAGATACCATCTCTGGGGCAGCAGGGAGACGGCAGTGTATATGTCCTCTAAATTCTGTTGTAAAGATGGAATAAAAACTGGTCAATTAAGACCAGGGAGAAAAAAGTAAATTCAGTGCATTAGTTATTTCGTAAATTGGTTCTTCAGTGAATTAGCCATTTGGCAAATTGGCTTCCTGTAAATTGGCTGTTATTGGAATCTGACTGCTTCCCACGGAAACACTGCGAAGTTGGGGGCTCAGGCTGCCATTGAGCCTACCCAGGATGGGCTGCAGTTGTCCTCTCTGCTTCCTACAAGCTGGAGATGGGGACATTGCCATTGGAGAAGCTGGGACTGAACCTTACCACTCACAGTGTGAGGAACAAGAGGAAGAAAAAGTGAGAGTGGATGGGAGGTCTCCCCTCTTTGGGTCCCAACTTAGAGGAACCCAAATATGGGCCACTAGCCAAGCCTCTGTGCTGGCCAGAACCACCCCTGCAGCCAGTCAGTGCAGCACACAGGACCAAGCTGGCACAGGACTTGGTGCATAAAGCCACGGGTATGTAGGGTCACCTTGTGGGGTGGTTATGAGATTAAATGTTCATTAAATGGTGATACATACTTGCAGAATAGTCTATACGGGACCGTCAGCTATTATTTTTACTATGGTTTTGACATTATCACTAATACAACTTTATGGTCAGTTTTGTTTGTTTTCTTTTCTTTTTGGCGGTTCAAACTGGGGTTTGAACTTGGCCTCACACTTGCTAGGCAAGCATCCTACTATTTTAGCCACTTGGCTAGCCCTGTTTGTTTTCTTTTTTGAAGAAACCCAGAACCCCAGGCCTCACATATGCACTTTACCACTGAATTACATCCCTCTCCCTCTAATATTAAATTTATCGTGATAATGCCTCCTAACACTGTACATACAGATGGTTGATAATTAGCACTTTTTCTTCCACACTTAGCCACTTTTGGAGAACTCTGTTTCTTTTGGGGCACCTGAGGCAATTCTTGCTTTTCTTATACTTCCAAAGCCAGTCTCTGGTCACTAACAGCCTTAGAATCCACATCAGCATCAGTGTAGCTGCAGAGCTCTACTTGGCCAGTTGGTCAGCTCACATTCTGTGTCCCCAAGTTATCTGTCTCACAGGTTACCAGAACAAGTGGGGTTACCCTGGGAAGACCCTGTCAATTTTGAAAATTTTGAAAATTATTGTTGCTAGGGTAGTAGCTGCTTCTGTGGAATAAAAAAACCCAATAGTAAAGAATTGAAGAATGGTCTGGGGGTGTGGCTTAAGCAGTAGCGCACCAGCTTAGCCAAAGGCTCTGAGTTCAAACTCCAGTACCACCAGAGGGAGAACAACAAGAAAAATGACACCCGTAAGAAGTTTGTGCCCACCAACTCTTTGAATTACTTGCTATGTTTCCTACAAGTTAGGATAAGAACAGGAGTGTGTTTAGGTACATGTCCTCTTCTAAAATAATTCCCTCATATTTAAAATAACTCAGTGTTTTATTGCATTCTTGGATAGCATGTTGCCAGTTGTCCAAAAAGCATGCATTCACAGGCAGTGGTTTCTGTTACAGTGGCGCTTATGAGCTGATCCTGGAGTTTGCAGACATTCCCTTTGCTGTAGGGAGACAAATGATCCAATTGCAGGTAGCCCCCTACAGGTACAAAGTCTGGGTTGTAGGAAATTATAGACACACAAAACCTCGTAAATATGCACACAGAAACCCCACAACAAACCAAGTTAATAATTATGAAGCCAGACTAACAGTTATTTATAGTTAAAAAGCAAGGTAGAGGAGGGATTGGAAGCTAAAAGCAGCTCAGTAGCCCTGATGATAAGGGCTCCTTTCCTGCGATGGGAGAAGTCTGGCCCCCTGAAGGCACAGATGGAGCTGGAGCCTTGGCAGTGCTGTGGGGAACCCAGACTTCTAGGGATGCTGGGTGAGGGGCTTCAGTAAATACTACTTCATGAATACCTAATTTTAGACATAGATCTTAGTTGTTTAGTGATCATTAATGAGTAGCCCTAGATTGTGTATACACAGGAGGCTTTGCATTTGGGGTCACAGCCAGCAGAAGGTGTTTGTAGCCCCTGGGGAGGTGAGCCATTTGTTACAGGAAGAACACCTGTGCTCTGTATCTTCCTGTACAGGGAAACCCTGGGAGGGTAGGCAGCAATGAATGAACAGTGGGAGACGAAGGGTGGTTTTCTTTGGTTTGTTTGTTTGAATTTTCTGAAAATTTATACAATAAAAAAATTTGCTTTTTGGTTAATTTTTAAAAGAGCTTCACCTAGCTCATCCAGGCCATACAACAGAACTGCACAAAGATTTTCCTCCCCACCTCACTACCCTGGGAGAGTTAAACAGTTACTCAGGGGGAGGAGACAAAAGGCTTATGAATAAGACTGTCTGCAGTTACTTGAGCCACTCAGATTAAGTGACAATAGCAGTTGTTCCTTGGAGGCACAAACTGTCACTGTTTAGGAAAGAAATTTCTCCTTTCTGCTTCAGCACCCATCCTATTAGATACAAGGGAAAGGGGAAGCAGGGCACAGCTGCCCTGCACTGGAGTTGTGATGAAAGCTTTTCTGGGTTATTTCTGAAGAAGGGGTAAAGACTTTCTGATTGTTTACCCTGAAGGCAAGAATGACTAGAATTGTTGCAGGAAGAGGTTTTTTTTTTTTTTAACCTTTTAAAATTGTGAACTATAGCATATGTATGTATATATATAGGCATGTGAATAAAGTGTAAGTGTAAAACGTAATGAATTATTGGAAAGCAAACATGTGTAGTGACTATCCAATTAAGAATTAGGACATCACCAGCACCCAAAATATTCCTTCCAGTCAAAACTCACTTCTTCCTAAAGGTAAATCATCCTGCCTTGTATGCAATACATACTACAGTTCAGTTTCTCCTGGTTTTGGACTTTATGTCAGTGGGACCTTATATAATATATAGCTTCTCTCACACGATGTCATTAGATAATTACCCACCTTGTTGCATGTGGTTGTAGTTCTTTCATTTTTATTGTTGTATAATATTCTAGCATAGGCATATGTTACCATTTATCAGTTTTACTTCTGATAAAAAATTGGGGTTAACAGTATTGGGAGTGTTATTATAAATAATGCAACTATGTATTTCTTACATGTGTGTCCTACTCTAGGCATGGAATGGCTGAAGTTGGCATGTATACATTCTCATCTTTCATGGGTAATGGTAAACTGGCTTCCAGCAGAGACTTCCTGCTCAACACCCCTGGTCCCACATAGTCTGGTGAGCTGGTTAGTGGTACCTGTCTGGTGGGTGGGCAGGAACTCACTGTGGCTTTACTGAGCATTCCCTGGTGAAATGAGGTGGAGCACCCTTCCAAATGTTTGTTGATATTTCTAATTTCCTCCTGTGTAGTTCCCCCAACTTTTTTGCCCATTGTTTTACTTATTGAGCACTATGTTATTCATTCAACTAGCTAACCTTCTAAGGGTCACTTTGCAGGGGGATGTAGAATATATAAAATATGTTTCCTGCTCCCAGGAGAACACTTGACTGTTCTAAATAAGGTTATATGAACAGGTAGTGATTGCTGAGGTGTCCATCTAACTCCCCCCCTCTCCCCGCCCCAACTGCCTGACAGCTGCAGAATGGGCCCTTACTTGTGTCATAGCCTCAGTGTTTACCAGTGTCTGGCTCATATTAGGTGCTTAGTAGGCTTTTGTTAAATGATCAAAGGAGGCATTTTCGGAGGAATGTGACAATGCTGTTAGGGGAACCACAAACTTTCCTGCTCCCTCTCTGTCCTGCTCCATCTGGAGTCGGGAGACCTCCTTAGGACGCAGTTGGGGAATCATGGCAGAAGTGCATACTAGGCCAAGGAACAAGGTGCAAAGGCACAGAGAATGAGAAATGTGGAGTGACTACAACACAGGATGGATGAACTGGTGGTAACGCTGGGGATAAATACGAAAGAGGAACTTTTTCACGGGGCGGGGGCGGAGAGCTGTCGAGCGCTGGAGTGGATCCGGAGAATCTTTTCCAGAGATCTTGAACTAAACCGAGCCGTTAGCTTGTGCTGCTACGGTACCTAACCCTTGCCTGGGGAGGGAGTGCTTTTCTGATGTTGTTCCCTGCTGCTGCTCTCCTTATCTTGCTGGGTTTTCCTGGATGGCAGCCGCTTACTTCAATTTGTAGTAGATGGGAGCACTGATGAACAGTCCACGGTGGAGAGGTTAGTCCTTTCAAAAGATCTTCCCTTAGGGACCCAAGTCACATTCTGGCGGCCGGGGAGGGAGGACAGAGCCACCGCGCTTCCCGAAGCTCCGCGCTTGGCCCGTTCCTTTTCCTTTTGCCTCTTCTGTGCACTCCTGGGCCTGGGAAAGGTCCCAGGCGCAGCGTATGGCAGGTTTCCTTACAAAAAAAAAGGGTGGGTGGGTGGGTGGGGGTGGGGACCTCCCCGGCGGTTCTGATGCAAAGCCGGGAGTGGATAGGTAATCGGCGTGAAAACGGCGCTCTCGCTAGACCTGCCCAAACTCCTCCTCTTGGCCAAATTTACCGAGAGGGAAGTCTTTTCCAGGAAACGAAAGTGAAATTGACCCGGAGCCATCTTGCTGCTGTGCGCGCAGGCGGCGGGGGTTAGCGTCCCGAACCGGTGCGGGCGGTGGGGCAGAAGTGCGCGGGGACGCCTGGGGGCCCATGGACCCGCAGAAGGTGCAGGTAAGCTGTGTGCTGCCTGGGCGGCTCTCCCTGTAGACAGGCGCCAGTGCCATGCGTCCCCTCGGCCAGCGCTGCTGCCACTCGGGACTCGCACCAGCTTAGCTCATTGTGCATCGATGAGGGTGAGATGAGGATGGAGGCTGGGTTGGAGATTGGGAGTGGTAAGGCCCAGGTCCATGTCTAGGCTGTCCCTTACTGCCTCCCACCCCCGGTCCCCTTGCCCCCCTGCCCCCCTGCCCCCCAGCCCGGAGTAGCCCCACTGGAACAAGTTTTGTTACTTTTAGCGGCCCTCTCCGCACTGTCACCAGCCTTTGGGAAATTTAAAGTACCCTCAGTAACCCGTGGGAGGAAGTCTTAACAGTTAGAAACCGGAGAACAGATGCTCCTGTGGTTAGCCTGCTGGCCATCATGCAGTGCAGTACTGCTCAGCAGTTCCGTGAGGAATCACGGCTTGGACACCAACGTAGATGACCCCAGAGGCGGCAGGCTGTCCAAGAATCTGGCCCACAGACTTCAAGCTGTACACATCCCTGTGAAGGACACTCTGGAGGGAGCAGCATTGTGGGGAAGGTTGACAGCACAGGGCAGGAGGAAACTGGGGGAAGTAGAAGGGTTCTGTATGTTGATTGTCGTGGAGTTAACACAGACTTGGACGACTTAAAAGGGTAAATTTTACCATATGCAAATTATGCCTCAGTTTTTAAAATAGTTTTATTATGATTATTGTTGTGCTGGGGTTCCATTGTGACATTTACAAAAATTCTTATATCAAAGTTGGATTCACCCCCTCCATCATTCTTCTTTATCCCCCATTCCTGGAGTAGTTTCAACAGGTGTCATTTTTCCATTTTCACACATGAGTACATAATATTTCTACCATATTCACCCTCCCACATCCTTTCCTTGTATTCTTCTCCTCCCAGTGGTACCACCCCTACAGACAGAACCTGTTTTGCCTTCCTGGTCTCTGTTTTTGAAAGAAACAAAAAGACATTTTTGTTTAAGATAACTATACAGGGTGTTTCGTTGTGACATTTCCATGTATGTATGTATTATAATCCAAATTGGTTCATCCCCTCTATTTTTCTCCCTTTTAGTCCCCTTCTAATGGTGATTTCAACAGTTTTAAAAATTATTTATTCATTATTGTATAAGAAGTACATGAACCATATTCACCTTCTTAACTTCCCTCTTACTCTCCCTCTGTCGTTAATGACTTCCCCTTAGCATGACCTGTTTTTGCCTCAGTTTTTAAAAAGCTGTATATATGTATCTATGGATATTGTAAAAGCCCCTCTTTAAAACGACTAGGGATACCTGAGTTGAAGGAAAAGCATTTTGTCTCATACACCCTGAGCAAAGGCAGAGGGGCCTAGCTCTTGATCCTCTTTTGAGACCTAGTTAAAGTGCCCTGTGGAGGCAATGCATGTTGGATGACTTTGTTACATAGCTTGCAGAGTAGATAGACAGGAGGTGGGAGAGAAGTGACCTTGAGGGATTTAGAAATGTCCTCCATAGTTGGCTGTGCTCAAGTGAGATTTGGAATTTAGGGGACTTCAGGATTACGAAGACAAAAGTAATAATTTTCCCTCTTACTCTAATCTTGCCTCTCTAAAATAACCGTTAACAAATTCTTACATTTCTTTTCTCCCCATTCACTCTAGCGTGCACACACACACGCATATACAGGCATTTATGTGTTTCCCATTTTGTTTACAAAAGAAGAGATTATAACACATGTACCCTGCAACTTGTGTTTTTTGTTGTTTGATTTGATATATTCCTAGATTTTTTCTAGGTAAATACAAGTAGATCTAACACACATTTCTTTTAAAACCATGTGAATACTGTTCCATATCAGAGTGAACTGTAATTTATTCAACTCTTTTTATGGCTAGACAAGCAACTATTTCCCAGCTTTTGGCTGAGAGTAGCAGTTTAAATCCAGAAAGCATTTAGCTAGAAACTGACTTCAGCCACTTTAAAACAAGCTTGTTTTTCTCAGAGTCACTCAAATAGCTGATCAGAAATCCCCTAAAGTCCCTATAATTCAGCTGTGTGAGCCCACATTCAGCTCTGCCTGTAGCAGTACGGAAGGGAGGGGCACTAAGAGGAGCGAGGAAAGAGACGTGATTGCTTATGTGGGGGCAGAATTGCTCATGTAGCTATTAATTCAGCAAGTGCTGGTACAGGGTCAACTTTGTGCCAGGTGCTGGGGAAATGACAACTGAAGCATAGTCCTTGTCCCACAGGAGCTCACTGTGGAGCTGACTGCAGCCCCCATCAATACTGTTAGGAAGACTGGGAGTGGACAGTTGAGTGTAATTTCTTGGGCACCTAATATTGTTAATTACCTTTTAGATAGAGTGCAATCATGTACACTATTATTATTTTTTCAATCCAGTAGCTATAATAAAAAGTAAATAGAGTAACTGGTGCTGAGTGGGAGGAGTTCCAGGAGAGAACTGGAACTGGTGGGGAGGTGGGAGTCAGAAGTCTCCTAAAGGAAGTAGCACGTAAGCAGATTTATGAGGAGAGGGTCATAGCTGTGACAGGTGGCAGCTGAGGGAGAGCTGCCATGTTGATTTGGCATGTAGCAGGGTAGAATGGTTAGAGGCTCCTGCAGTAGCTCAAGTAAGAGGTAATGAGGGGCTGGAACCAGAAAATGACACAGTTGAGAGGCAATACAGAGGTGGTAGACAGAGGCCCCTAACTACCTGGTTAGATGTGAGGAGACGAGGAGGGCAGTGAAGAGACAAGGAGGCAGTGAAGAGGTTTCTAGCCCGGCTGTGCGCCATTAGCGGTAATCACAGGAGCAGGAGAAAGAGCTGGCTTTGAGAGAAATTATGAATTATATTCAGAAATGGGGTGTTTGAAATGATGGCAAGGGTACATGAATGGAATGGTGTCTGGGCAGTTGTACATCAGATCTGAAATTTCACAACATGGCAGTTAGAGATGGTAGATTTAAGATGCCCCTGAGGGCTAGTGAAGTCAACGGGGCAAACCAAACTTGAAAGAAGTCCAGAGACAAAACCCTGGGGACTAATTATCTAAAAAGGGGTGGAAGAAAATGACAGAAACAGATGAAAGGAAAAGAGGTGCTAGAAGACCAAACTCTGGGAAGAAAATTTTGTGAAAGAGATCTTAATCTTCAGTGAGTCAGGGCATGTTTGTTCAATTTATTGACCAAACAACAGAGACCCAACAGAGACCCACCAAGCCCAGCCCACGTTCAAGGAAGGAATGCAGGCTGAGCTTGGTGGTGTACGCCCTGTAATCCCAGCTACTCCAGAGGAAGGGGCAATTCCAAGGCCAGCTCAGGCAAAGTTAGGAGACCCTATCTGAAAAACAAACAAAAAGAACCCAAGAGGACTGGGCGTGGCTCAAGTGGTAGAGTGCTTGCCTAACAACCACAGGCCCTGAGTTCAATCCCAAGTACTGCAAAAAAATACCAGAAAAAACAGGAGGAGGAAGAATGTATGTGGGCCATATTAACACAAGGCAGTGTGCCCCTCCAGTACCATTTGGGATCTTGGGAGAAGAAAGAGGGGACAGTGGACCTTGGGTAGAGATGCAGACTGACCAGAAGGTCCAGTTAGTAAGGGAGTGTATGAAGCTAGAACGAGGAAGGATTGGGGGTGGCTAAGTGATAGCCACGATGGGGTCACATGAGGAGCAGGTTCCAGCAGTCAGGAATGGAAGATGTAGATGCAGGGAAGTTGCTATCATAAAGGAACAGGAGTCAGCAAATAACAGCCACAGCCAAAACTGGCCTCCACCTGTTTATGTAAATCAAGTCTCATGGTATATAAATTGGTAATAAAGTTTTATGTAGTTTGTGTGGCTGCCTTTGCACTATAATGGCAGAAGTATCTGACCCTTTGCAGAAGAAGTTTTCCAGTCACTAGAAAAGAGTTTGAGGGCTTGGTCATGGCCTGGGTTAGAGTATTAGTGACATTGAAGGGGTAGCTGGACAAGCTATCATGTGTCTGAAGGGTAGAGATGGAGGTCACTGGCATAGAAGGATACCATGTAAAGTGATTAGCAAGAACACTAAAATCCCCTCCTAATGGGGACAAGAGGGTGGACCAGAATGCTGACACTGTTGATGAAGCTGCACAGCTTCCCCTGTAGCCTTCAGGAGAACCGGAGGAGGGGACATAAACAGGTGGATATGTCGTTATGTTACTACCTAAGTCTGCAAGCCTCAGGGAAAGGAAGCAAGGTGCTTTCCTCCAATCCCAGGAGTACCTCTCTAGTGATCCAACAGCACCAGGGAGAAGGGAGCGCTGGACTGTGGGTGATAGGAGGAGGGTCCCAGCTGTTCAGTGTTCTGTAAATGTACAGCAACATGTGAGAATTGGGGTCTGTGCCCTACACAGTGGGGTTCAGAAGAATGGGCAGTGGAGGCTGCTATTGGGAAGTAGCTGAGGAAGGTAGGAGGACTGGGCTGAGATGGTGAGGAACAGGCCCTGCCAGTCCCCCTCATCCAGGTTAGCCAAGTGTCCCTTCTGAGCCTGGGTACCACACTGAAGACTTGGGTCCTTCCATCAAGCAGTGACAGACAGGTGAATCTCTGATGTCTCATGGTCCTTTGCCATGTGGAGATCATTCCTGTTCCAGTCCTTTTGCAACCTGAGAAGTCTGGGGTTCAGTTTCACAAATCAGGTTAAATATCTTTTTGTCACGGTCATCCACATGCCAGATTTTAGAGACAAAGGGGCTTGTGTGATAGGGAGCCTGACTCAAGGAGGGATCATCTAGGCTGGGCATGGTGGCTCATGCTTGTAATCCCAACTACTCAGGAGGCAGAGGCAGGAGGATCAAGAGTTCAAGGCCAGCCTGAGCAAAGATAGGGAGACCCTATCTCAAAAACAATACAAGGGCTGGGGGGCATGGCTCAAGTGGTAGAGTGCTTCCTTAGCATGCATGAGACCCTGGGTTCAAACCCCAGTACTGCCAGAAAAAGGAGGGGGTTGTAAAGAACAAAAACAAAAACAAAAAAATCAGAAAAAGAAAAAAAAAGGGGTGGGAGTTACCTCAACCATTCCCTAATCTCCTAACTCCCTTGCCATTTTCAGAGTTCTACTTTTGTTAGTTTTAAAAACTAAATACCACTTACTTGTTTTTCTGATTTTAGAAGGGTAAATTTGGGGGTGAGTGGAAAGGTTCCTTTTCAACTCCCTAAAATTCTGTTGAATGAGAGAGAGTAAGTTAAGTTGCTGGAGATGCCACACTGAGGCATCTGAACCTTCTCAACCTGTTAAGCAGCAAGAGCACTGCCCCTGGACAAGAGCAGGATGGGATACCACGGGATCACCAGTGCAGCCCTAACTCACTTTCTTATTCTGCAGGGGTGCTCCCTCACCAGAGACCGTGGCCATCCTCCTTGGGGCTATGAGCAGAGCCAGCCCAGGCAGCAACAGCTTGGGCCAGGACCTTACCTTAATAGTTTCCGGCTCCGGCAAATAGAGTTTCTCAAGGGGCGGCTCCCAGAAGTGCCCCTGACTGGAAAACAGACACCATCACTGCCACCATTCCTCCCAGGACTCTGGCCAAGGTTTCCGCCACCAGCCCAAGGCAGGCAACTAGAAATCTGGGGTGTCCCCAGAGTTGCACCTCTCAGATTTCAGGGGCACCACATAAGGCCCCAGCTTCCTTTACCATGCAGCAAGGTTCTGCCATGGAGCGGTGTTGACAGGCTCTCCTCACACTTCCAGGAACTGAGCATCAGCCAGGATCAGGAGCAGAGGATCTTAAAACTCTTGGAGGAGCTTGGGGAAGGAAAGGGCGCCACAGTGCATGAGCTGGCCAGGCAGCTCAGGGCCAAGAAGAAGGAAGTCAATCGAGTTTTATACTCTCTGGAAAAGAAAGACAAACTGCATAAGGAGGCAGGAAAACCCCCTTTGTGGAGCATTAAAACCTCAGTTCAGGACTGGGACCGCCCCAGCAGTGGAGCAAATCCAAACAATCATAGTCAGGACGCTGCAGGTTCAGAGCCTAGTTTGGAGACTGAAGAGGGAGACCCCACATCTAACTTAGAAGATCCTCCTGAGCCGTTTGACATGGCTGAGATCAAGGAGAAAATCTGTGACTACCTGTTCAATGTGTCTGACTCTTCTGCCCTGAATCTGGCTAAAAACATTGGCCTCACCAAGGCCCGGGATGTGAATTCAGTGCTGATTGACTTGGAAAGGCAGGGCGATGTCTACAGGCAAGGGGCGATCACTCCCATATGGTATTTGACTGACAAGAAGCGTGAGAGGATGCAAATCAAGAGAAATATACTCAGTGCTCCTACAGCCACTCCAGCTGCTGTGTCTGAGACCCAAAGAAACACAGCGCTCCCCACTTGTCGCTTACCCCTGCCAGGTGCCTCAAACAAAATGATAACCACAGAAAAAGTAGAGAATGGGCAGGAGTCTGTCATAAAGTTAGAAAGTAGGCAAGAGGCTAGACCAGGACCAATGAGACTGAAACCACCTGTTTATCACAATGGCCCATTTAGAGCAGGGTATGTTGACTTTGAAAATGGCCAATGGGCCACAGATGACATCCCAGATGACTTGAATAGTATCCGCACAGCACCAGGTGAGTTTCGAGCCATCATGGAGATGCCCTCCTTCTACAGCAGTGGCTTGCCACGGTGTTCACCCTACAAGAAACTGACAGAGTGCCAGCTGAAGAACCCCATCAGTGGGCTGTTAGAATATGCTCAGTTCGCTAGTCAGACCTGTGAGTTCAACCTGATAGAGCAGAGTGGACCGCCCCATGAACCTCGGTAAGACACCACCCAGGAAGTATGCATAGGGTTGGGGTCAGGTGCTCTCGTTCCTCCGCAGTCTCAGCAGTGTTCCTTTTTGGCCCCTGTCTTTTCCTTCTTTCTTTTCTGCTTTTTTCTGGCTAAGTCATCCTTGATTGGTCTTTTCTCTGGGTGTTGATCAGGGATGGCAGACCTCAGGGCAGCCAGTATCTTGACTGAGCAGTGGGGAAGCTGACTCTGTTGTCTGAAATGAAGTTTGTTTAGAAAGGATTGGTTTTCATGCATCCCGGTCACATCTGCTTCCTAAGGCCAGAGGTAACACAGACTTAACTCCCTTCTCATACCCTCCCCATGCAAACTAAGTTCCCAAAAGGGGTGTGGGAATGGAAGGGTTGGGACAGGCTGCTGCACAGCTCAGGTGGGAGGGGAAGAATAGTATAGAGTACACATAGCTGCCTACCTGTTGAAGTTGGTGGTTCTAATTTTGCACAGGTCGCTGGGCTAGCACTCACTGCTGCTCCTGAACCAAGAAGACAGATTTCCTCACTCACACAGCTGGTCAGCCCTTGAACTGTAGGCCCCACAGGCCAGGGGACAAACTGATTAAGACAGGTGGGCCCAGAAAGGAGCTACAGAAGGGCCTCCAGACTCACTGGAGCTGAGTGGCTACAAGCTGCAATGGGAGAAAACCAGTGAGGACAAGGAGAATGCCACCAACGTTTATACTGTCATGTGTTACTTAGTGATTGGGACATACTCTGAGAAACGCATCATGGGTGATTTCATCATTGTACAAACATCATAGAGTACATTCACCCAAGCTAAGACAGCTATAATGTCACTAAGCAATCTGCTCTTGTTCGACCACTATTGTATATGTGGTCCATCGTTGAGCCAGATGTCACTCATCAGAACATCTTTCCCTGTGTTTACTCAGGCTGGTTTCTAGAGGGAAGGAGACCTTGCTGTGGCCTTTATTCCTTATCTAACCCTCTTACTGGCACCAAGTTGGCATTGCAGGAAGCTGTTAAGAAAAAGATCGTGTCTGTCCAAAAGCTGGCAGGGCCAAGACTGATTTGTTTCTGTTAGGGACCCATCATTTACTTTTCCCACCATCCCCCTTCCCCAGGGTTTTCGTTAGACGTCAGCAATAAGAAACGTTGATGCCATGTTCAAGTACTTGAGAAAACCTTGGAAATAATAAATTTGACCTCTTTTCCTAAATGAAATCTCAGCTGGGATAAAGAGCTAGACACATTTCAGAGGTTGAACAAAGGAAGCCAAGGCTAAGTCTAGAGGCCTAGAACAAATGCATTTTGGTTTTCTGCTTAACCAGGGGAGTTGCTTTCATCTCTGGCCCAGGACAAATAGAGAGCTATAGCACAACTCAAAGAACTATAAGTGCTTTATCCCTAAGGGCAAGTTAGGGGCAAACCTTCCCTGCCTAAACAGCCGCTGTCTTTCAGAGACAGCTTCACACCCTCCCCTCTACCCACCTCACTGGTCAACCTTTCCTCTTCTCACAGCCAGCTTCCTGTATTGCCCCCTCCTCCCCCAACAGCCTCCTGCTAGGTAGCAGGTGTCCAAGGATGTAGCTGTCCGGGGAGTGTGAGACTGGGCGATAGGACCTCCCTTACAGTTGCTTTAGGATGAAGGTCTAGTGATGATTTTATTTTACTTTATTTGTTTTTTGTTGGTACTAGGGTGTGAACTCATGGTTTTGCGCTTGCCAGGCAGGTGCTCTACCACTTGAGCCACGTCCCCAATCCTGTACTGGTGATTTTAGCTCATCGCCTTTTGTAAAACTTTACCTTACTTTGTTGTTAAAGATAGTGGGTGTCCCCTGAGCAAGGCTTGTATCACCCACTTGTGGCTGTGCTTGCTCCACTGGGCTATAGGGAGAGAATCACTGGTTGCTTTGTTCCCCAAGAGAAGGGACAGGCTGAGCCACCAATGGAGAAGGAGTTGCTTGGCCTTCACTCCATCTCATCCACAAGTCAAAAAGCTCCTTAGTGTAGCCAAACATTCTAGGGTGGATACCCCATTGGTAAGAGCAGAAGAATGGCCTACCCTGGTGTTCACACATCTAATCACTTTCCGCCAAGATTTAAATTCCAGGTTGTCATCAGTGGCCGAGAGTTTCCCCCAGCCGAAGCTGGCAGCAAGAAAGTGGCCAAGCAGGATGCAGCTATGAAAGCCATGACAATTCTGCTTCGGGAAGCCAAAGCCAAGGACAGTGGAAAACCAGAAGAAATAGCTTACTGTTCCATGGAGAAAGAGTCAGAGGAGGTAAGAGCCTGGGGGAGGCTATCCATTCGTTTTTGATGCGTATGAATTGTTACACATCAGAACTGCTGCCCACCCTTCCCCACCTCACTAGCCCACCTTCCCTCTTCTCAGATCCAGCTCCTTCTGCTCCTTCCCAACCTGATTGGGTTTATAGAATGTCAGAGTTGCAAGAGACCTGAGGACCGTGGAGTCCACTCTTCTCTCTGAGAAGATAATTTACCCCTTCCTGTTATGCTTAACAAGTCCCCAGCATTACCTCTTCTCTTGGAAGCCATCCCATAAAGTTTAGTTGTCCAAAAGAAATTTGCTCATCCCCACCCCCTTTGCTAGAATGGACTAACCAGGGTTTTCTTAGCTTTATTTCTTTGTTTTGTGTTTTTCTTGCCTCTCATTTTCTCCAGACAACAGAGCCCCAGGCTCCCACCCCTTCAGCAACATCTTTATTCTCTGGGAAGAGCCCCGTCACAACGTTGCTGGAGTGTATGCATAAACTGGGGAACTCCTGTGAATTCCGTCTCCTGTCCAAAGAAGGCCCTGCCCATGACCCCAAGTATGTCCCATGATATCTCTCTGGGGAGGTTTTCTCAAAAAGAAGGCATCCTTGCCTCCTCAGAGATGAGAGACTTTTTCACCGTGCAGTTTCTTCTGTTTCAGAATGGGAAGGGAGGCCTTCAGGGCCTGGTCATTGTTTATGAAACAGAAAATCTGGGATTAGGAGTTCAGATGCATTAGGGAGGTTCATAGCTTCAAGGACAGAAAAGTTCAGGACCTGGGCAGGCCTCAGCAGCTCTCCTTTGAGGGTCTGTAGACTTTCTTGTTCAAAAGAAGGCTTCCTGGAGGAGGTGAAACTCGGTTGATCCTTGCATGTTAAAATTGGTTAGCCAGGCCAAAAGACAGTGGGGGCTGATGGTGGGAGAGGCACACTACATTTCCAAGGCCAGAGTGACTGCACAGAGGTGTGTCTAAGAAATTACTAGGAATAAAGGATGACAGCCTGATAGAGGCCAGGCAGATCTCAATGCATACCACTGTAATTCTTCCCTTTCCTCTTCTGTCAGGTTCCAGTACTGTGTTGCAGTGGGAGCCCAAACGTTCCCCACTGTGAGTGCCCCCAGTAAGAAAGTGGCAAAGCAGATGGCTGCAGAGGAAGCCATGAAGGCCCTGCATGAGGAGGCAACCAGCTTGACTGAAAATCAGGTGGGGTGTTTTCCTGCTCAAAATATACAGGTCATTGTTAGCAAAGCAACTGTGTGGATTAGGATTGTCCGTGGGTCCCTCAGAGTTTCCTGATGTGTTTATGGTTCCTCTTTGTTTGGCTAATTCTCCTTTAGTCTGGAGGTACGGAATCACTTGATAACTTGGAGTCTGTGATGCCCAACAAGATCAGGAGGATTGGTGAGCTCGTCAGATACCTGAACACCAACCCCGTGGGTGGCCTGTTAGAGTACGCCCGCTCCCATGGCTTTGCTGCTGAGTTCAAGTTGGTCGACCAGTCTGGACCTCCTCACGAGCCCAAGTGAGTGTCCCAGTCCTGGCTACAGCCTTGTGTCACCAGAGGGGGTGGCCTATAACATAGGGAAAGAAAGAATGTGCATTAGTTGTGAATGACAGGAGGGGCAAGTTGAGGGAAACAAGTCCTGTTCCGTCTGCACAGCTTCATAGAAGATATTAAGTCAGCCATCTTAAGACTACACTCACTCTTTCAGTGAGCATGATCCTTTTAAATTTTTTTAACTAATTTTAGTTTCTGAAGGAAAACATATGTATGTAGAAAATCATCCAAACTGATTGAAAAAGCATACAATGGAAAGTCTTGTTTCTACCCCAGATTTCTAATTTCTCTCCCCAGACCCATACACTGTGACCTTGAGTCCTTCAAGAAGTTTCTATGCATAAGTAGCACATTTCCCTTTTTGTCTTTTTTAAACAAAAATAAGCATTTTTCCTACTTTCTATTCTATACCATGACTCCTTCACTTACCAGTGTGTCTCAAAGACCATGAGAAGTCAGCATGGGTAGCTCTACCAGACTCTCCTGCACAGCTGTGTAATAATTCATTGAATAGATGCTTCCAACTTTGAAATGATTTATTAAGTAAAAGATACAGAAAACCTTTTCCAAAATGGATACTCATGCACCACCACCCAGTTTCGGAAATAGAACGTTGCATTACCTTGGAAGCCCCTGGGCATAATTTGTTTAGCCAACTTTCATTGCCATTTAGGTTGTTTTGGTTAGGCTACCAGAAACACTCCTGCAGTGAATTTCCATGTACTGTCTTTGCTTACTTCTGCAAAATAATAGTATAAATTAATACTAATATTAATAGTATAAATTTTTAGGAGTGAAATTTCTGGACCATGGGTTAAGTTAAAGAAAAATTATGCTGGGTGGCTCACAGCTGTAAGCACAGATGCTCGGGAGGTGGAAATCGTGAGGGTTATGGTTCAATACCAGCCTGGGCAAAAAGTTAGCGAGATCCCCATCTCAACAAAAAAGCTGGGTATGGCACATGCCTTTTATCCCAGCTACATGGGAAATGTAAGTAAGAGAACTGCTGTCTAGACTAGCCCTGGCAAAAAACACAAAAAACCCTACCTGAAAGATCACAAAAGCAAAAAGGTCTAGGAGTATGGCTCAAGTGGTAGAGCACCTGCCTAGCAAGCATGAAGCCCTGAATTCAAACCTTAGGACTGTCAAAAAAATAAAATAAAAACAAAAACGTTTATAGGGAACAAACTATTCAAAATAAAAAATGTTATTTAAAAATAAAAAATATAGCCAGGCATGGTGGCTTGTTCCTATAATTCCACCATTCTGGAGGCTGAGGTAGGATGATTATGAGTTTGAAGCCAGCCTGAGCTACACAGAGAGACCCTGTCTCAAAAAAGTTTAAAAGGTAATTCAGAAATATGAAAAGCTCATTCTCAATCTTCCTTTGGCCTAGCTCTCATCTCATATACACATCCCCTCAGGTCAGCATGTAATAACTACATTATTGTATATCTCCAGAGATTCCAAAAAGGCATTTATAAAAGTTAGCATCCATTGAGATTAAAAAACCAAGCTGTCAGTAACACTGAAATTATTAAACAAATTCTTTGCATGATAAAAACACTTCTGAAGCCAAAAACCAGCAGTGTATTTAATAATGCACCTAGAACTGTTGCCACGAATGTCAGGGGGAGGTGTAGATGCCTTTGTCATCATTTCTGATGTGATTCTGGAACTAGCCAACGTCAGGCAAGAGGAGGGTACACACACAGAGAAGAAAGGTACATTGCTTGCAGATGATATAATTGTGTACCTCAAATACTCATAGGAAAACTGAAGAAATATAGACACAGGAGATTTGAGGAAAGCAGCAAATTACAAAATAATATATAAGAATGAAGAGCTCTTCTGTACACAGCAGTGAGCAATTGGGAAATGTAGTTATGACATAACTAAGAAGGTACACTACCTAAGCCCAGTCCTAACAGGAAATGTATGGGGAAGTAAAATGCAAATGAACAACAGAAAGGGGAATATCATTACATGGGGGAAAAACATCTGTCACTAGATAGGATGAAACTTACTTTTTGTGCGCATGCAGTGCTGAGCATTGAACCCATGCTAGGCAAGTGCTCTACCACTGAGCTACAGCAGCTCAGGAAAATCTATTCTTAAAGATAAATCTCTACATAATGTGATAACAATAAAAACACCAATAGAATTTATTTGGGAACTGGAAAATATGGTCTTGAAGTTCATATGAAAAATACATACTTAAGAATAGCTAGACAAATTCAGAAAAAGAGTAATAAGGTGAATTGACCCTAGCAGATTTCTAAATAATGGTGTGCTGGTGTGTGGAAAGGCAGCTCACGGGAACAGATTGGAGTGCCTAAAAGGAGAGGTAGATATAAATGGAAATTTTGTACATTGTAAATACAAAGTTTTAAACTGGTGCGAAAATGATGGGTTATTCAATAATGGTGATGGGGTGGCTAACTATACACCCTAAAAAGAAGACCAGAACTGGAGGTCTGCCTTCTTCCCTATACCTAACTTCCAGCAGACCTGAGGTTTATATACAAAACCACAAAATCACTAGATAGGAAGCAGGAATGTTTCCAGAGGAAATCTTCAAATGTCAAAGCTTTTCCAATGTAGACAGTTGCATACCTGTAATCCCAGTACTTCAGAGGCAGAGGCAGGAGAATCAGGAGTTCACTATACAGCCAGCCTGGGCTATGGAGGGAGACCCCGTCACCACAGCAAAAACATAGGTAGGAAGATCATGGTCTAAGGTCAGCCTAAGCCAAAACAAAACAAAACAAAAAATGGGGAGACCCTACCTAAAAAATAACTAAAGCAAAAAAGGACTGGAGATGTGGCTCAACTGATAGCATGCCTAGCAAGCACAAGGCCCTGGGTTCAGTTCAAACCCTAATACTGCCAAAAAAAAAAGACACAAAACAAAGTCTGGAAAATGTGACTATAAGAAATACTGGTGCAGCGTAAAAGGACCACTTGAGAGAAGAACAAAACACAGAAGCCCAGGGGCTAATTGCTGTGATATAGAAAATCTAAGAGAAAAATAGACACTGTGAACTATACATTCACAAGAAAATCAACAAGTGAATTTTTAAACCAAATTTACACATTGACAATGTACTTAAAATAGGGATGAAACTCATCTACATCATAGCTAAGGGTAAAGAACAATGCACCAGTGACTCATGCCTCTAATTCTAGTTTCTTGGGGGCTGAGATCAAGAGGATCTTGGTTTAAGGCAAGTGCAGGCAAATAGTTTGCAATATCTCAGTCTCAATCAATAGTTGAGCATCAAGCTGGATGCAGGTGGCTCATGCCTGTAATCCTAGCTACTCAGGAGGCAGAGATCAGGAGGATTGCAGTTCAAAGCCAGCCAGGGCAAATAGTTCATGAGACCCTTTCTCAAAAAAAAAAAAAAACGCTTCACAAAAAAAGGGCTAGTGGAGAGGTTCATGATGTAGGCCCTGAGTTCAAACTCTAGTACTGAAAAAAAAAAAAGCTAGGCACCTGTCATCCCAGGCTACATGGGAGGCTAACATTGGGAGGATTGCAGTTCCAGGCCAGCCCAGGAAAAAAAGTTTGTGTGAGACCCCATCGCAACAAAAAAAAGTTGGATGTTGTGGCCTATGCCTGACTTCCCAGCTACTGGTGGGAAGCATAAAATAGGAGGATTGTGGTCCAGACTAGCCTGGGAAAGAAGCAAGACCCTGTTTCCAAAATAACCAGAGTAAAAAAAGAGCTGGCGGTATGGCTCAAGTGGTAGAGCAAGCATGAAGCCCTGAGTTCACAACAAAAAAACCAAAAAGCGTTCAACCTGGCATGTCAACTCTATGAATATACATATTGTACATGACATATGTACAAAGATTTTCATTGCATCATTATGGTGGCAAAGACTTAAGATGGGCTAAAACCCTGTCATTCGCAGACAGGTTAAGTAATCTGTGGTATGTCTACACTAAGAAATACTAAACAGCCATGCCACAGAGCAGAACACATCTGTATGAAAGCATCTCTAAGGTCTGTTGCAAAGTGAACATAGTACGCTCTCTCCATAGTGCCAAGGATTTTCTTGAAGGATTAAGAAAACTTGGCAACAGCAGGTGCTTCTGGGCTCTTTGAACTTTTACTTGTGTGAGATGTAATTTCTCAATTTTAAAAAGTCTATAAGGAGAAAAGCTCTTAGAATACCTTGTTTTAAATTTGTCTCTTTTTAATAGTAATGTCACTCATTTATTCATCTATTCGTGTTTGTGTTATTTGCATTTTCTTCTCTTTGAACTGCCTGTTTTGTCCTTATTCATTTTTCTTTTTGGATTGTTCCTGTTTATTGATATGTTAGATCTTTATCATAACAGAACCATTAGCTCTTTCACTAGCCTGATCAATTTAGAACCCTCAGGCTAGAGGGAGCTAGAAAGGTTCCTCCACTGCCCCTTGTGATAGAAAGCATTTGCCCTGCCTTGAAGCCATCTAGGAAAAGGTGAGGTCTCTCTCCTGCTTCTGTGGTTCATATCCTTCACTGCCAGTCAACCTTCCTTATTTTTAAGCTCAGTCCTTCATATAGTAGTTTCAGTCATTTCCTCTTCTTTTTTGTAAAATGTCTCTAAAATCCTTTCTGGGACTTCAAGTCAGTCATTCATTTGGAATGTAAGAACTTACTATGACCTAGGATTGAAGAGATGAAAAGTTGCTGCCCTGAGTGTGCCACAAATGTGTAAGCATAACACAGTGTTGGACTGTGCCTTGTGGAGGCGCAGTGTTCTGTGAGTTCACAGGGTATTGCTGCCGGCCCCTTAGCCCCTGCTCCCTCCAGGTGCCACCTCATTTCCCTGTCCTCTCATAGCCAATCCTTTCAGAAGAATACTTTGTAGTTCTTGTTGCATTTTCTTAACTCGCTTCACCAAAAACCTAACCACTAGCCAAATGTGCTTACTGAGTACTTGAAATGTAGCTGGGGTGAGTGAGGAACTGAATTATTAATTATACTTAATTTTAGTTAATTTAGGCTTAATAGCCTCATGTAACTAGTGGCTACTGTACCACACAGCTCTAAAGTATTCTAATAGCATAATTAACAAACTTCATCAATACTTAAGTATTATATGTGAATATATAATACATACCACACAGACAGAAAACTTCACATGTAAGAATTCACTTTCTTTTCAAAGATCTAGAGCAGTCATGACCTTCTCCTGGACCCCTCAGGCAAAGATCTGCCCCCAACCTCTTTTCATGTTTATTGTCCTCATTCTGAACTTTGTCCACTGGCCAGCAGGAACCTGCCAGTTCAGGCAATGAAAGGTCAACTCCCTGTGTAACTATTCTTATCTCAACCAGCAAAAACCCTTGTTCCTTCCTATTATTGCTTATACTCTCTCTACAACAAAATTAGAAATAAGGGCAAAATAGTTTCTGCTGGGTATTGAGGGGGTAGGGGGGAGAGAGGGGGTGGAGTGGGTGGTAAGGGAGGAGGTGGGGGCAGGGGGGAGAAATGACCCAAGCCTTGTATGCACATATGAATAATAAAAAAAAAGAAAAGAAAAGAAAGGAACAAAGGTATTCAGCTGCTTAGGAGAAGCAAGAAATAGTGAGAATGGAAGCCTGTGCAGTTGAGTTATCCGAAGATGGGTTTCCAACCATTGGGTGGAGGGTCTGGCTGAAGCTAGGATTCTTGAAACCTTGTCTGGTGGATTTCTAAGCTGCTTTGCTCCCCCAGGCTCTTTCCTTCTGGGGCCTCTTCCTGCTCCACAGGTGCACTTGGCAGAGCCCCTGTGCCCCAGTCCATCCCACCCCTTGCTGTGTTGTTTTAGTAGCTGTTTGTTTTTAAGTATACCTACCTCACAAGCATGATGCCCTGAGTTGAAACTCCAGTACCACCAAAAACAAAGAGTTTATAGTATAGAGCTTTTGCTTACCACAGTCATCCTTCAAGTGACATTATGCCCTTCACTTACAACAAAGAATCATGCAGTATTATCCTTCCATTTCTTCCTTCCAGTCTTTGTGCTACTTTTACAATGTCATGAAACCTGATGCTGCATTATTACTGTTTTGCTTAAAGGAGATTTGAATAATACTAATAAAATATATATGTGGTTTGTTTGTTTTTTTTTAAAACAGTGTACTAAATAAGTGACCCTTGAGAAAAAGTTACTTCCTTCTCGTTTTTGCTTAAGTTGAGAAGAAAGTTCAAGTTTGGTGCTAGCAGCTCGTTAAAACCTCTCTCATACTTCCTCATCTTCCCTTACAGCAATGCCAGGTGCAGAGCTGTTAACAATATAGTTGAAGAGGATTTTGTCATACCTAGTTTTACAGCCACTTTCAGTTGATGGCAAGTGGCACTGGTTCCTTCGTAAATGTATTTACATTTTTAAAGGGTCAGTTTAGACCCTTTGTTTAAGTGACATTTGGAGCTAACAAAATTCATGTTGTAATTCATGAATGACGAAAATCTGGGCAGCGCTGCCTTAGAGCTGTCAAGACTGACAGTGACGGTCCGTATGTTTGCATGACTGGCCGCACCTAAAGCAAAACCAGCCATTTCCTGAAACAGCTGTCAAGGTCCGGTGCTTGTCTCCATCCTGCTTCTCATCCCAAAGGTTCGTTTACCAAGCAAAAGTCGGGGGCCGCTGGTTTCCAGCCGTCTGTGCGCACAGCAAGAAGCAAGGCAAGCAGGAAGCAGCAGATGCGGCTCTCCGTGTCTTGATTGGGGAGAACGAGAAGGCAGAACACATGGGTTTCACAGAGGTAACCCCAGTGACAGGGGCCAGTCTCAGAAGAACTATGCTCCTCCTCTCCAGGTCCCCAGATGCACATCCAAAGACAGTTAAGACGTCTACTTTTGGTGCTCTTTTTTTTGGGGGGTGGGGGTGGGGGAGGGTCCTGCTAACTCCTCCCTGGGTGGAGTTGGCTCTTCATTTGTCATGTGAATTTTCTCTAGGCTTTAATACTAGCCCCATAGACAAGTGACTGGGACACTAGATGTGAGATGGGAAAGGCAACTCACAGACCAAGTAGAACGTGATTTCCCTGCCCACTGTGCACTGTGGTGGACCCAGGCTGGGCCTCGTGGTCCTGACATGGCCCCTGTCCCTACAGCTTCCTCTCACCGGCAGTACCTTCCACGACCAAATAGCTATGCTGAGCCACCGGTGCTTCAATGCTCTCACCAACAGTTTCCAGCCCTCCTTGCTGGGCCGCAAGATTCTGGCTGCCATCATCATGAAGAAAGACTCTGAGGACATGGGTGTCGTAGTCAGCTTGGGGACAGGTAAGCGAGTGCTCTCCGAGCCATCGGCCTCCCTCAGTGCCTGAAAACAGATCCTTCTCATTCTGTCCTAAAGTGAACAAGTTAAAGGTGGGGTCAGAACTTCTTTTGTACAGATTCAGCATGCTTGTATGCTGACTTCATGCTCAAAAAGTTTCCTATTTTGGAGTAGTTTGATTTCTTAATTAGGAATGCTCAACCGGTAAACTCTGTAAATATCCCCAAATCCAAAAACCTCAAATCTGAAACCCTCTTGTCTGGAGCATTTTGGATAAGGGATACTCAATCTGCATTTCCTTGCAGCTGCGGTCAGCTCAGAGTGGGTTGTTTTGATTTGTTTTCATTTTTGAGAAAGGGTCCCACTTAGTAGTCCAGGCTGCTTTGTGCCCATGAGCCAAGGATCTGGTAAATTGAGGCTGTTTCTGCCTTCACTCAACTCAACTATCCTTTTCCTTTGATTGTCTCATTTTTGGTTTAAAATCCCTCTAGGGAATCGCTGTGTGAAAGGAGATTCTCTCAGCCTAAAGGGAGAAACGGTTAACGACTGCCATGCAGAAATCATCTCCCGGAGAGGCTTCATCAGGTGAACGATGTTGGCCCGGTTATAGAGCAAGCACCCCCTGCCCTGCTCCCCTGCCCATCCAGGGGACTGTGACTCCAGCACCTGCCCTCCTGAAACCCCAGCAAGCCATCAGGTCCTTGACCCAGCAGTGGCATCCTTCACTTGTAGCCCATGAATTTGAACCTGTCTTACGGAATCCATCTCCCTTGTGACCTGGCTGCATCCTGCTACGCAGCCTTTTCTAAGTGCCCTCCTTTTCTGCTAACTTGGCTTTATGTCTCTTCTCAAAGAACAGAGTGACCTCCGGGTACTCAGGGCCTTGGGGATGATGCAGCCTTCCCTCTCCATTCGGGACCTATAAACAACCGTGATGGCCCATGCCAGCTTTCTCCTCTAGTTCACCTTTAATTTAAGAAGAGAGAGACTCAGGGAGAAGCAGTAGCCTCCTATAGGCTTTCAGTCAATTTGTCCTGTTCTGTAGCTGCCATAGGGAGGGGCTCTCAGCGTAAAAGCAACTGACCCAAAAGGCTAGCGTCTATGAAATGCTAAGGTCTCCCATGGAGAATGTTCCAGCCCCTTTCCACCCAAAAAACTTACACGTGTGTACCACTAAGACTTTTCCTTACGTGGGCTTAGGTGGAAGTCAGATCATGGAAGTGTAATCTGTTCTCTCCAACATCAAACCTGCTTTCCTAGCCAGACTTTCTTTCTGTAGGTTTCTCTACAGTGAGTTAATGAAATATAACCAGCGTACTGCTAGGGATAGCATATTTGAGCTTGCGCGGGGAGGAGAGAAGCTCCAGATCAAAAAGACTGTTTCGTTTCATCTCTACATCAGGTCTGTATGGTCTCTCTTGCTGCCAGCACAGGCCATGACAGGCTCCCTGGACTAGGTATCCAAATGCTCCTCTGGCCCCTAAATCTAACCTTATGCAATAGACCACTCCCTCTGTGTGCTTGAGGTCAGTCCCCAGTGGAGAGTCACTCACATCCATGGGATATTGTTGCCCACCTCCAGTATCCCATGATGGGCTTCAGAAAATGTCCCTAGCTTCCACCTCACGAGGCTCCAAGCTCCAGGAAAGTGAGTTAATGGGCACCCCTGTTTTGCAGCACCGCTCCATGTGGAGATGGTGCCCTCTTTGACAAGTCCTGCAGCGACCGTGCCGTGGAAAGCACAGATTCCCGCCACTACCCTGTCTTTGAGAATCCCAAACAAGGCAAGCTCCGCACCAAGGTGGAGAATGGTGAGTGACACATGAACTCCCCCCCACAGAAGTTTGCCAAAGCTGCTGCTGGTGGGTGGGGTGCTGTTAGCCACTGGGCATTGAGGCGGTGTCTACTTGGGGAGGGGAGGATGCAGGTGGGAGAAGGCTGAAGGAAGATCAAGATCCCATTTTGCATTTGTTACTTGGGCGGTCTCCAAAGCATTTAGGAGGTACAGGTGCTCATCTGGAGCTCAGTGGAGGGAGCCTAGCTGGGATCTTCACCATAGGAAGAGACAGGAGTGCCTTGCAGGAAGAGAGCGGAAATGAGAACCTGGCTCTCTGCCTGTCCAGAGGCTTTTGATGCTGTGCCCTGCCCACCACCTCTTCTCCCATCCTCTAATGTGTTCTCACATCTCTGCTGTCCCTTCACCCTCCAACAGTCATTGGAGTGGTCCTCAGACATAAATCAGGTCATGTCACTTTTCTGCCAAGCACCCTAAAGTTTAAATACAGTCACTATATGACCCACGCTTCACTCCTGGGGGTTTACCCAAACACTAGTACTGCAACATTGTTCACAGTAGCCAAACAAGGTGGAAACACTCCCGTGTCCTTCCCCTTCCCAGTGGATAAATAGAATGTTCCCTATCCTTATAATGCAGTATTATTTGGCCATAAAAAGAAATGAAGTACTGACATACTGCAACATGGAGGGGCCTTGAAAACATGCTAGTAAAGAAAGCCAGTGAGAGAAGCTCACCCATTGTAGTATTCCATTTATATCAAATGTCCAGACTAGACAAGGCCATAGAAACAGGACATAAAGTAGTAGTTAGCTGCCTGGGGCTGAGGGTGGGTGGGGTTGGAGGGAGACAGGGAGTGACCACTAAGGGCTGGTAGAATATTTCTGTCAGAGGTGATGAAATGTTCTGAGAGTGCAACGATGGATGCACAAGTATGAAAATACTAAAAATTACTGAATGTTATGCTCTAAATTGGTGAGTTGTATATGCGAATTGCATTTCAATAAAGCTGTTACTAAAAAATATACTAAAAAATAAATAAGCAGACGCCCTATAGTGGTTTCCCACTGCACTGTACATGAAGGGAGAAGCTGCCCTGACCTCTCAGCCTTGTCTTACGCTCCACTTCCTCTCACTCACCAGTGCTCTCTCTCTTGTATCGATGCCCTGAAGCAACAAACCCCTCCCTGACTCAGGGCCTTTGCTGTTGCTGTTCCCTGTGTCTGAAACACTCTCACTCCAGCGGTTCCTTCTCCTTTGTGTCTCAGCTCCCTGACTCTTCTGTCCCAGGAGCTTCCCCATGTTCTCCCTCATAGTTCTCTTAAAGCCTTCAGAGCACTGTAGCATCTAGAATTTCTATGCATATATTGGTCTGCTTATTTAGTTTCTGTTCCGTTCTTTCTGTCCCCTCTCCACCGTAAGCATCACAGAAGGACTTTTGTTCACCGTTATTTCCCAGCACCAAGCACAGTCCCTGGCACATAGTAGGTGCTGTGAAATCAATGAAGAGACAATGCTCAGGAACACAAATCCTGTGCCGGGGCTACTTGGGTCTGGCGGTCTGACCTAAGTCTCTCACACAGGGGAAGGCACAATCCCCGTGGAGTCCAGCGACATTGTGCCTACATGGGATGGCATTCGGCTTGGGGAGAGGCTCCGTACCATGTCCTGTAGTGACAAAATCCTACGCTGGAATGTGCTGGGCCTTCAAGGGGCACTCTTGACCCACTTCCTACATCCTGTGTATCTCAAATCTGTCACACTGGGTAAGGGACCTGCCTCAGGAATGAATACCCATCTGTCCTCAGCACACATCCCTGCTAGCTGCATTGCCACATGCCAGGTGTTGACATGATATCTCCCCTTTCCAAAGAGAGCTTAACTCAGTGGTTAGTAACAGCCCCTGGGAGTCCAGTCTACTGTGGTAGGAAGGTGGGTCAGACAGCAAGCCTCAGGAAGGACTGACCGGGCCAGCCTTGCCAAGATACGTTAAAGCTTAAAACTGCAGCATTTTGGTTTCCTTGTTCTCCCCAGCCCTTGGCTTTACATGGAACCTTCTATTTTGTGCTTAAATATTTGGTGATCCTGTGTTATGTTCCAGGTGGCCACAATCCTGTCAAAGGAGCTGTTTCTCTGCCCTGACAACTCTTTGAAACCTTCATACTCCCATGTATCTCTTGTGTGTATGCCCGTGTGTGTCACTGGGACTTGATCTCAGGGCCTCATACTTGCTAGGCATGCACACTACCACTTAAGCCACTCCCCAGCCCTTTTTGCTCTAAACTATTTCTCAGATAGAGTCTTGAGTTTTTGCCCAGGCCAGCCTCAGACTTGGACCCTCCTAACTATGCCTCCCACATAGCTGGAATTACAAGCATGTACCAACATACCTGGCTTATTGCGATAGGGTCTTGTTAACTTTTTGCCTGGGCTAGCCGCAAACCACAATCCTCCTGATCTCTGCCTCCCAAGTAGCTGAGATTACAGCGTGAGCCACTACTTCTGTCCATTGCTTCTGCCTCTTTATAATATTTGGTGCAAATACAGAGGTATACGTTTCTTTCTGTGTACCCAGGTTACCTTTTCAGCCAAGGACATTTGACCCGTGCTATTTGCTGTCGTATGACAAGAGATGGAAATGCATTTGAAGATGGACTTCGATATCCCTTTATTGTCAACCATCCCAAGGTGCTATAACCCCGTTCTATTTTTCTCTTGACATTTATTTCCTTTTTGAGCAATCCTATCAGCAGAGCAAAAAATGTACACTGTGGGCAAGGGGAGCCCTTATCCTTTACCCACTTTGGATGCCAAGGACTTTCCTCCTCTCAATCCAGAGTTAATCTGAATCAAACTGGAGTTAGTGTGTGTGGAGTCTGCTTAGTCGTAGCCAAACAGAATGCTAAGTAGGGGAAGATGATGGCTGTACACTCCCTCCTTCCCCTGAGTCCTGAGTCCCTGCTTCCTAGCCTTCTCCCTGAAAGGTTTCCATCTTTCTCCCACCACTCCTGGGATCCTTAGGTTGGCAGAGTCAGTGTATATGATTCCAAAAGGCAATCCGGGAAGACGAAGGAGACAAGTGTCAACTGGTGTTTGGCTGATGGCTGCGACCTAGAGATTCTGGATGGTACCAGAGGCACCGTGGATGGGTAAGGAAGGGGACCCCAGGAGAAGCAAAGTCGAGCTTAATGCTGTGGTTGTAGGGTGCATCACTTGCTTGCCAGTCTTTACAGCTTAAGGGCCACCCACTCACTTTGACTCCCCACTTTTGGTCCCAGGTGAATAATGATTGCTTTTGTTTCCCTAGACCACGGAATGAATTGTCCCGAGTATCCAAAAAGAACATTTTTCTTCAATTTAAGAAGCTCTGCTCCTTCCGTTACCGCAGGGATTTATTGAAACTCTCCTATGGTGAGGCCAAGAAAGCTGCCCGTGACTATGAAATAACCAAGAACTACTTCAAAAAGAGCCTGAGGGACATGGGCTATGGGAACTGGATAAGCAAACCCCAGGAGGAAAAGAACTTTTATCTCTGCCCAGTACCCAACGACTGATGACATGGGGCGTTTCCCACAGGGTGAGAGAGAGGTCGTAGCATTCCTCATCACATTGGTCAAAGGTTTTGGGGGGCTTTTTTACCCCCTTTTTTTTTTAATGGGACCAGTAATTGCTGGTATTAAGATCTTTGGGTTCCCATTTGTCCTTATCCTGCTTTCTTTGGGATTTCTAGGCAGGGCCTGGCCGGGCCCCTTTCTCTTTTCCCACATGGAGAGACAGAGACCTCAAGGAAAAGAAAAGGGTTTCCGCTCAAAGCCTAAGCAGTCACCCAGCACCTACAGCCATTTCCTCTTATGGCTCATTCGGGTTTTTTTGAGTTTTTTTGAGTTGTTTTTTTGTTTTGTTTTCCACTGAAGTTTGCTACACTGACCTCTTGTGGACTTGGTTAGGTTCCAGTCAATTCTCTGTGAATCATGTCAGGGACTAATAATTTCATTTATGGATTCTGCAAGCCCTCTCAACTTCCCTTCTCCCTGCTGGGACTCCTTGCTGTGATCATTAACTTTCTTCTCCAGGATAGTGAAGAGGTGAACTTAAAGAATCCAGTGAACCATTTGCAAAGCCAGGGGTTGAAAGCTGCAGTCAATTTCCAGTGCCAGTGGAAGATGATGGTGTGCACATCCTGCCAGTGATGGTGTCTTGCACTTAGCCAACTTGAGGGGAGCTGCTATGTGGCAGTGCCTCCCTTCCCCAGGCAGCAGGGGAGTTGAAAGCCAGCCAGGCTGGGCTGGGAAGCTGCCCAAGCAGTAGCCGAGGTCCCCCCTGTGGGGCACAGACAGTTCTTGGAAAATAGCCATGTTCTGAGCTGCCCTTCCATCGAAAGCCTTCCTAGTAATTGGCCCCACCCATGCAGGGCACAGGGCCAGAGACCCTGACAGACAATGGGGAGCAAATCATCTCTGCTCAGATAGTTGGGACTTAGCAAGAATAAAGGCAGAAATCATGTTAGGTCAGAGCACTATTGAATAAGGCATAATATTTCTCAGTGTATTGATGCCAAGGCAAGCCTTGTGTAAATTAGGAGTTTTTAAAAGAATGCCAGGGATGGTGATTCTTAATCGCAACTGCACAGATTTAAAATTCAGACGCACTTTTCCATTCATGCAAGTGCTTTCATTTTGCCAGATGGCTTTGGAAGTTGGTTTGTGGGCAGGGCACAGGCCTGAGGTCTTCCTGACCATTGGGGAGTCTTGCTGGGGTTGACATACAAGATGGTGGTTGTAGGTGAAAGGGCATGAGGTCCTCACACACCCTGGGGTGGACTTCTTTGGTTATACCTCCACCTAATGCTGACTCATGCTGTCAGAGCCTTTGGCCTCTGTGGAGTCTGGCTCTGAAGCTAAGTCAGCCACGCATGCTCAAGAGGACTGAACCTGCCTCTTTCCTTTGGATGGTATGTCGTCGTCTTGGAATGGCGGTGCCAGGGCCCCCAGATGATTTTCCACGCTTCCCTTATCCCTCGACCTGTTGACTAGTTCACCCTCCCTCTGTAGCAAACTTCTTCAACAGTAGACATATCCACATTTGCACTTTTATTCTAGCTACTATACCCTCTGGGCCTGTGACCAAAAAAATTGGCCAAAACAAGAACCCAGGTTTTTAAAATATGCTAAGGATATCTTTGTGGAACACAAAGCATCCCAAGGAACTGGTAGAGAAATGGTGCCAGTCTTCTTCAGTGGAGAGGGCCCTTTCCCTGGCTGTGTGAATACTGCCATGCTTGGATTGGTAGCTGAAGGCATATTAAATCAGTCCTGGCACCTGCCTCTGGGGCAGAGCAACCTTGGGGTTCTGAGCTGTGGGGAGGAAGCACATCCCCTGGGTTCTTCAGGCTGGAGGGCTATCACCTACTGATACCTCAGGATGTTTGGGTCTTGGGAGTTTGAATCTGGAGAAGTTGTCTCCTTAGCCAGGAGCACAGGGGCTCTGAGAAGATCAGAGCCCTCACTTGCCCCCAAGATCTTACCGAGCAAAAGGCAACATTCCATTTCTGCTGTAGGAGGAGAGTGAGGCGTCCCTGCGCCCCACATGCCTGCTGGAAATGAGCTGTGTCTGGCCCTCCTGCCTCCCCTCCCACCGCGTCCCCATGCCCCTCTGAGTCACGCAGGACGGGGGGGCAGAGCTTCTTCCCAGTGTTCTCTTCACTTTTTGGTCCACCCAGTCTTTGTTTTTAATAAGCAAAGCTCCTCCCCGTTTGTTTTTAATGATTTTTGTAGTTGATTTGTCTGAACTGTGGCTACTGTGCATTATTTGAATAATCACTTGTAAAAATTGTCAATGCTTGAAGCTGTTTCCTTTGCTCAAGCTGAAAGGACATTGTTGGCTTTGGGGTCCTGGCAGTGACTCCAAGAACAGAGTGGAGAAGAGCCCAAGCATAGCCTTGGTGCTGTGATGGCTGCAGTCCAATTTTGTTATTCTGCTTTTTGTCCCTAATAAATAATAATATACATTCCTAATAAATAAAAAACAGTGAAAAAGCAGAACTGTTAGAAAGCTTCAAGTCTTGGTTTCTTGGGGAGTTGAAGGGACCCATGGTCTTGGGATTTCTCATACATAACAGTACCAGCTGCACCTGATGTTGAACCTGAGAAAGGGGTCGCCCTCAGCCTGCAGAGAAGAGCTACTTCAAAGAGCCTCCATGGACAGATAAGCTTGCCACTGAGCAGGGTGAGGCACCCCTTAATTATTTCCCCCACTCCACACCCTTCCTCCATCAACCCACACCACATGTCTTGTCCCCAGGGACTCTATATGGACGAGCTCAAGGCCCAGCATAGGGAAATATCACTTGAGACAACGTCAAGAATCACACAGTTCTCTCCCTGAGGGGTGTTATCTAGCCCACATGCCCCCTTCCCAACTGCTCTGCCTCCAGCATGTGTGTACTTGGAGAAGAGTTATAGCTAGGACAAGGACAGGCTTAGGTGCATCTTAAGAGATAGACCACTTACCTTTCACTTCATAGATGGCATCCTGAATCTCTCTCCATCTTGAATTTCAAATAAATTCACCTCTGTCCACATTGTAATTTACTCCAGAATTTCTGGAACACCCACCTTTGTAGGTATCATACCAGTAGTCAAAGTACAACAGTAAGGCCAGCTAAGTCATAATAAAAGCTCCTCTCAGGAGCCAGCAGCACATCTGGGGGCATGACACGTAAGGACCAGAACTGCATGGTGTCATTCGGGGTGCTGAAGTGCAGTGCTGTGCGAGCTGAAGTTTTAAAGAAGCAGGATGATACGCCCTCTATGACGTCCCAGGAACCTTGAGTATCTGTCATCAGGCAGCTCCTGGCTCCACCTGGATGGGAATGTGCTCCCCAGGTCATTCAGAAAGCGGACAGTTTTATGGGCTGGCAGTGTAGCTTAGAGGGGCTAGATTCCCAGCACAAAGATGAGGAAACAAAGCGGTGAGGGAGTGGACAGTTTCCTTAACTACTAAGGCGCCAGTCGTGTCTCTCCTCTTGCCCACTGGCTGGGGCAGAATGTGGTTTCTTCAGTTCATCACTTCAGTTTATTGTTCACCCTGCATTTCATCTGGGGGACCGCAATTTAATATTATTTCCAGGATTTGGGCCCATATCAAACCAGTGTTCCTGGAACAGTTCTGGCCTCCAAGCAAACTTGACTTCTTAGAGCACGGAGACTATGAGAGGAAACCCCAGACATCCCTGCCTCCAGGGAGGCTGATTCTGGCCTCACCTCAGTCCTTTGTATAGGGTCTTTGTCTACTCCAGGTTCAGTCATTTGGTCATTTCTTTTCCATCTAATTAGTGGGTTTGTTAGGCGACAAAATCACAGTAACAGACTGTTGGCTTTCAACCTTTTCTTTGGATTTGTGTAATGCCTTTAACCTGTTGAGTCCAATTTCTCCAGCACTCCCCATTTCCCATATTTGCCAACCCTAGCCCATGAGAGTTCCCCAACCCCCATCCCCCCAAATAGAACAGTGACAAGACATCTTTGGAAACAACTTTAGGAGAATCTTCAGTTCTTCAGTCCAGCGAAAGGGGGAGGGGAGGGCTAGACCAGTGCAAATATTCCAGGAGTGGAGACAAGGGAGGCCAAGGACAGACAGTATAGGGAGACGGGGTCACCAAGGGTGGGTGAGTGAGGTGTCCCACTGATTCCTAGAGTTACAGTCCCTTAGGAACCATGTGACTATCCCCCTGACCTCTTAGAACTATTGGCATAGCTATTAAAAAATGGTGTTTGTTCTGACTGGCCAGGGTTAGTGATGGGAAGCTGCCCAGCACCAGTTGGGTTGTGAGTGATACTATGACACCAGCCCACCTCTGCCTGGAAGCAGAAGGTGACAAATAAAGCTGTGTCACTCTGGCTTGGGAAGCAATTCAGAGAAGGACCTGGTTGCCCTCATTTTCATCACTAGAAGCTTTCTCCTACCTGCCTGAAAGGCCACAGTGAGAGCCAAGAAGCATGACCCTGCCACTCCAGAAGACAGGTGCTATCAGCTGTCACCTGGTCTCTCAGAGCGTCATTTCTCTTCTGTAAAGTGGAGTACCTCCCCTGCAGGACAGTTGTGAGGAATGGAGATGGTGCATCTGAAGGAACTGACACAGAGCAGACCCATAGTAAGTGGTGAAATCCAAACTGGCCAGACCCCCAAGCTGATGGAAATGGTCCTGCCCTTCCTCTACAGATAGCCTTCCTCTCAGAACACACCAACTGGAGGGCTGCCTGGGTCCTGCTGGCTTTTACGTTTTCAATAACTTGGCACCAGCTGTTCCAGAATCGCTGACCTCACTGCCAGGAAGCTGTCTTCTTCCTGCTGCATCTGAAACCATCTTTCTGATAAAGATGGCTTCAAGATTGCTGTGCCCTTGCCGACTCTGATCCACAGCTCCTTCTCACTGATCATGCCCTTCTTGTTCTAGATTTTCATCCAGTCTCTACTTCCTCCTCCCATCTGGAGCCTCCTCTAGGTCCTACCCAGCTCTAAGCCCCGGTTCTCTCTAGAAACAGCCCTACATGGACAGGAGACTGGGCCTCCCTGACATCACCAAGAGAAGAGGACCCAAAGGTGGTAGGGACTGTGGTTCCCCAAAGCTTCCCAGTGCCCTTGAGGCTTCACATTGTCCTTGCCTATGAAGTAGAGCCTTCTTCCACCACCCTCACACTCTCCTCCTCCTGTTGTGCTGGTCCCCAAAGGGCAGCACCCAAATGGAGATAATGACACTAACCAGTCACTCTTCTTGCACATCAACCCCTTTCTTCCTGCTGCACTGTCCTTCCCTGGCCACTGTTCCATTGTACAGGTACAGAGCAGCAAGTTCAGAGGTGAGTGCCTTATATGAGGTGAGGCTGCAAACAACCTCTGGGCCCCATTTCTCTCTGTGTTAAATGGAACATGGAGAGAAGTTAAGCTGTTCTCTAACATCCCTCTAGCACTGTCTGGTGACTAATTTGGACAACAGCTGACTAACTTGTGGAGATCAGTAAAAGAAAATATAGCAGCAGCAGCTGGTGTGGTGGGCACCCTGGGAGGGCCTCAAGCCAGCATACTGTCCTTCAGAGGGACAATTCCTTTCTAGTTCCTGTTCCAGGTTCCAGGATGTTTTCTCTAGGGCTGTGAGTTTGAGGTGGGTACAGGTATAATACAGGCAACCTTTCTGTTCTAGAACAGGGAAACTCCCCCTGCCACCAAAAAGAGACACTCACAAACCTATTTTGACAATTGGGAAACAGACTGAGGACATATCAAGCAGCTGCTGGTCTCAGGTCCTAGTGATGTTCTTCTACAGCCAGAACTGTCACCCTGAGGTCCCTGCACCAGGGGAACCACAGGAATCACCTGCATCAGGGGAACCTTACCTACAAGGGAAGCAGGGAGAAACAAGGGCTCCACCCAGGGCCGAAATAAACTTGGCTGATAGTACTCCAGAGAGAACTTCCTGCCCATTAAACTCACTGGGGTACCCCTTAGCATTCCTCCCCAGCTGTATCCCCGCACTCTCAGCTCCCCCAGATCCAGGCCCTGTTTAGGGAAACATGGTTTCTTCAATAAAAAGACAGAGATGTGTGGGTTTCGGAGGGAGGCTGGCATGCCAGTCAAGTGACCCCATCCCACAGGCCTCGATGGCCTCTCAGACTGCATGTTCATGAAGCATCTACTCTGTGCAGATACAGTGATCGGTTTTATCACCAGCATCCTTCATCCTCACAGCAAGCCCACACACAGGGCATTACTTTCCCTGCTTTATAGAAAACAAGGCTCAGGCTTAGCAAATCATAGGGACATGCTCAGAATGGCTCAGTGAGAAAGTGGCAGAGCTAGACAAGGACTTAGGCCCAGGGATCCTTGTTCCAGACTCTTTGCCTGTGCTGTGTCCTCCCTACCACTCATTGGCACAGCCTCCCACCTCCACTGTGGCTGAAGAAGCAGCAGTCCCAGCTGAGCTCCAGAGTACAAAATGTCCCAGCAGGCCAGATCCCATGGATGCACTCTGGCAAACTGACTCTTCTGTAACCTGCCATCTGATGGCCCAGCACTGAGCTCAGGTTGGACCACAAATCAGAATCAGTCACATGGTGAAGGTAAGGACAGGAGATCCCTTAAGAGGTCTGTTTTCTGGTCTAACAGGCCAGGTGGCCTCCACCAGGCTCCTGGGAATAGTGTCAGATGCTGCCTCCAGGGACCCACAAGACAGGCGACTAGAACTATGTCCCCTGGGGAATCACCTCAGCAATAGACCTGTCCTTCTGAAGTTCTGCTTCAACCTGCTGAGACCTGGTTGTGAGACCTGGTTGTGACCGGGAAGGGGAAGAGCCAGAGGCAAAAGGATGGAACCAGAAGTGCAAGAATGGGAGCTGGAGCAAATTCCAGTCATTTGTCCCCTACTTGGCAGGCCTCCACAGCTGGCTGTCCTGCTACCAGCAAAAAGGCTAGGTCTGCTTAAAGTTCATGTCTCTAGTTGCCTTCCTTAAAGCAGTCATTCAGTTCAAAGTGGGGCTCAGGATGGAAAGGAAGGGTTGGATCCACTGGGCTTGTCTCACCTTCTGGATCTGTTTCTTCGTCTGTAACATGGCTCCTATTGGAGTCCATGACTTTAAAAGCTTCTTCCAGCTCCAAAAGACTGTGAACTTGCACTTCTCACAAGTGCAAGTTCAAGTACATAGATCTCAGACTCCAAGCAAGTCACTCAAAAATTCACAACTGAGAGGCTCTGCTACTACCCAGGCCTTTTCACTGCACTTTGGACCAAGCAAGAAAGGAAGTAGAGAGGAGTCCAGAGGGTAAAAGACTTCTTCATCTTTTAGAAAGGGAACCGGGGCTAGACTCTGAACCCCTCAGAGACGTATGGCTGTGGAACTGAGCCAGAAGCCGCCCCCAGGAGTCTGACTGCAGGGCCAGGCTAAGTCCTCAACAGGACTCTGATGCTGTGAAGCCTCCCAGCCCAGCTGCTGTTCATTTATGAGGGTGGGTGCCAGGTCACACCAGGCCTCTCCTCCCATCGGTCCCTCCTGCTATCTCTCTTCTCCCATGACTTGAAGGCCATGGACAATTCTGTCCCCTTCTTGGCCCCTTCCCCAGCACTGTCCTTAGGGTAGAAGGCCATCTTCTGTCCTAAGTGGAGGATCCTCCACTTGTCAGCCTTCACTTCTGCCATCAATGCTACTGCCTGGGTTGCTACAAAAGCAGGAGAGCAGCTGGGTGAATGCAATGCAGCTGGTTCCCCTCTAGGCTGTGTTGGCTGTGTGTGATGGAGGTGGGGCAGGGCTCCAGGAAAGTAAGGGGGTGGAGCTGTGGAGGCAGCACCCCGCCTTCTGTTACCTCACTTGTCCATCCTCCACCCAGTACCATTGAACAACAGGGGGCCCTAGGGAGAAGGGAGATGGAGATGGGTGAGGTCTCACTTGGCCGAGTGGTCTGAGTGGAGGAAGGTGGTGGTGGTGTAGTTCTGGAAGAGAGGCTGCAGGAACATGCCAACAGTGCCAAAGACACAGACAAAGACAAAGATCCAGAGGAACAGGCGGTCGATCACCATGGCAACGTACTTCCAGTCTTCTCTCACCTGGATGGAGGAGATGGAGACCCAGGTGTCAGTGACAGATGTGGGATGGGGGTTGGAATGGGTCTACGTATATACACACCCCACTCCTCTTCTTCAGTGACACCAATGTGACCTTTCACAGCTCTTCTGTCACGTGCCTAAAAGCCTCCAGTGGCCCCACTGCCTTCAGAGCCCATCTAAACCTCCAAGTCTAGAATCAAGACCTACCTATTATAACAAATAGGAGCCTGCCTCCTATTCTCTCCCATTCCATAATCCAGACTTACCAAACCCCAACATGTCCTCTCAGGTCTCTTTGTGCATGAAAATCTGACTTCCCTATCTCTACCTGGTGAACTCTTATACATCCTTCAAAGCCCAAATCAAAAATCACCTCTCTGAAGGTCTCCCTGATCCCCAGATCACAGTGAAACACTGCCCCTTCTGGGTTCCCTTAGCAGTATACCTCCATTACAGCATTTGTACTGTATTGTTTCAATTTGTATGTCTGCCCCTCCACAAAGCTACAGTCCCCTAAACTACAGGGTCCCTGCCTGGTTCATCTTTGTAATTCCAACATCTGGAACAGTGTCCAGTAACTGGGTGATGAATTAGTGAGTGAATGGCTGACTCTGAGAGTTTGCTCCCTTTTTGATGGCATGGGGAGCCCCATCCAACAGCACAGGGACCCGAGAGAGCAAGGGCTGGGGACCAGGTGTGAACAAGTCAGTCAAAGACAGAGCCAACCACAGGGCTCACACCAAGGGCCAGTCTCTCTGCCCAGCCTGAGTCTGGGCCTTTAGACACATGTTTCTCTGGAGCCCAGACAGCTCAAGGGGGAGGAGACAAAGCATTCCTGGCACTGTTGTGCCTGTATCCTGCTAGGCACTGGGAACACAACTGAGCCAGACAAAGGCTCCTGTAGTGTACAGTCTACTGAGGGAGCCAAAACCAAAGGAAGTAAGAATAAAGAAATAGCATATTGCTCTCGGGAAACAAAGGACTGAGATAACGAAATGGAGAGTGACCTGGGCAACCTCTTTGAGAAGGTAACATTTAAGTTAAGATCTCAGTGGGAATGTGTTGAAGAAAAACAATCAGACAGACCCAAAGTGAGCAACATCTGCCTGACCCTTGAAAAATGTTGAAACCATGAAAGACAAAGCAGAGTCACTACTCCAGATCAAAGGAAACTAGCCACATGGCAACTAAACGCAACTGGAGAACTTGGGTTGGGGGAGGGACAATGATCCTATGAAGGATGTTATTGGCGAAATTGGAGAGATTTGACTTTATCTTAGATAAAAGCAGTGATGATAAATTTTCCTGGGTTGATCATGGAACCTGGGGTTTTTGTTGTTTGTTTTCAGTGCTGGGGATTGAACCCAGGACCTCCCACTTTAGTAAGCAGATGCTCTACCACTGAGCTGGTTTATGCACCCAGTCTGGGTTATGCAAGAGAAGTATTTGGAACAAAGGGTCACAATGTCTCCAGCTTTAATAGTAGGGAAAAATTTTAAAACAATATTTTTTGAAATCTTATAAAGAAAGAAGGGCCTTCCAGGCAGTATGTACCCATAATGTGCCAAGACCTAGGCTTGCTTAAGCCACTTTGACAGACAAGCCAATGACCTGAGCAAAGGGAAAACAGCACAAGCTGAGGGAGGAGACACTGATTGTTTGGATGTAAGAGCACAGAAGCTGAATCAGCGAGGCTATTCGGATTCTTCGCTGGCCCAGGCAGGAGCTGTTGGAGGCCTAGAGCCAGGATATTACTGTGGAGGTAGTGAGGAAAGGATGAAACTGAAGATTATTTTGGAGGTGGTGCTCATAGGACAGGACTTCCGATAATTTGGCTGATGGGGAGGTGAGAGAGAAAAAGAAGAGTCAAGGATCACTCAAGGTTTTGGTCTAAAACACTGGGTGAATGGTTACCCCATTTACTACAAGATGGGGAAACTGGTGAGGGTGTAGATCAAGCACTCAGTTTTGGACAGGTCAAGTTTAAGATGCCTGTGAGGCATCCAAGTAGGTCACTGCACCCTCAGCACCTGGCTCAGGAAATGCACAATACATGAGTGGAATACATGAATGGAGGCATAGAGGCTGGTGTGGCAGTAGTGCCTGAGCCCTGCACCCAGCATCACCCACTTGGCCTCAGCTGACTCTGAGACTCTTGCCCGGTTTCCTCCAGTCTCAGCCCCCCTCTTCCTCCATCCAGAGTAAGCTGCTTCTTGGCCCAAGCTTTTGCTCCAATCCAACATCCTGCCTTCCAGGGGAACAGACCCCTGAAGCTCCCCCACCCTACCCCCAGCATAAACCATAATTCATGTCCTTCCTCATCCCCCAACAGGAATGGTAGAGTCCTAGAGGAAACCTGACCAGTTACCATGGCAACAGCTGAGCCTAGGAGTGGAACTAGCCAGGTATCCCGGGACTAACCTCAGTAGAGGGATACCAATCCATCGTACCTCCCCCCAACTCCTGGCTCAGTCCCTAGGAATCTCCTTTGGGAAGCTGCTGCAGAAAAAAGTCAAAACTGGGTGTGAGAGTGGAGTGGGTGGGGAGGAGGGCTCCCCTCCATAAATATTTCACCAGACGAGTCTTCAGGACCCAGAAGACAGAAAAGGGATATTGACTTGGGATGCTGTCCTCTCCACTGGGAGCAGACTCACAGAACCTCTTAACCCTCCCACATTTCTACTGTCCTCAATTTTGTCCCGTGTGTGGCCCACAAAAGGACTCAGTTTGTGCTAAGAGCTGCCGATTAACAACTTCGATGTGGTAATGCAAACTGCGGGGAGGGGAGGGACTCTGGCCCAGCTGCAAACCCAGAAGGACCTCTTCCTGTTCCAGGACGCTCTCAGGATACCAATGATGCCCCAGATGACACATTTTGCCCTGGATACTAGTCTTCGAGAAGCTACAAGGTCATCTTCTATGGACTCCAAAGCCTCCCTAAGGCGACCAAGAAGAATCCAAGCCAGAGCCCAGGCCTAACTCACATTTCCTCCATCCTGCACTCAGCTTCGCGTGTCAAAGTGACGCCCTCCCTGCTTTACAGATACCCGGGACCCACTGTACATACGCTCTGATCGTCGTCCTCGCTCCGCATGTGGTCCGCGATGAAGCGCACACCGTCCACGGCCTCGCGGAGGCCGCAGCCACATGGCCCCCCAGAACGCCCCGGGCCGGCCCCGGGCCCAGGCTCAGCTCCAAAGGCTCCAGCCAAACCCTGGACGGACGCGCGGTTGACGAGGCAGGTGCAGGAGTCAGCTCCCGGGGCTTCGCGGAAGAAGAGGGCGCCGGCACTCTCACGCTCGCGCTGGCGTCGCCGCAGGCGCAGGCGCTGGCGGGCACAGTGGTGGCGCGGCTGCTGCATGAAAAGCAGCGTGGGCAGCTTTTCCAGGAAGACGACCTTGACCCAGGGAGCCATGGTGTGTGTGGTGGGCGAGCGGTGGTGCACGTTGAGCACGCACACACTGGTGACGATGGAGAAGGTGACAAGCACCATGGTGAACATGAGGTACTTGCCAACAAGCGGCACATCAAGGGAGGTGGGAGGCACGATCTTGGAGATGAGCAGGAGGAAGACCGTGAGTGCCAGCAGCACGGAGATGCACAGGGTCATCTTCTCGCCACAGTCCGACGGCAGGTAGAAGACCAGGATGGCCAGGGAGGTGATAAGCACACAGGGAATGATGAGGTTGATGGTGTAGAAGAGTGGCTTACGGCGAATGATGAAGTCGTAGGTGATGTCCACGTAAGTGGAGTCGTCAGGGTTCTCATTGCGCCGGCCTGGCAGGGCCACAATGTCCCACTCACCACTGGGTGTGAAGTCATCCAGGCTGGCCACATCACTCTTGAGCACCAGGTCGATCTCCGTTCGGTCGTACGTCCAGGAGCGGAACTTCATGGTGCAGTTCTGCTGGTCAAATGGGAAGTGCTTCACTTCAATCTTGCATGCACTCTTGTAGATGGCAGGTGGCAGCCAGAAGATGCTGCCATCATAGGAGACCACCGCGTTGGAATAAAAGGACACCTCGTACATGCCGTCAGCACTGCCGAGGAATAGGCACAGTCAGCCCTGGCCTGAACATTCCTCCATCACCACCAGTCAACCCAGGGGAAGTGGGAGAGGAAAGCCACAGGGAGATGTAGGAAGGAGAGCCGAGGTCTGAGAAGGATCATCCAGGAGTACAAATGGCTGGAACAGGAATTGAGCAAGAAGAGGATATGGGTGGGCTGGTGGCAGGTACTGGTATCCTGGGCAGGAGGCCTGTGTGGCCACTCAGAGGTAGAAAAGGGTGAATGGGGGCAAAGGACACAGCTGCTACTTGTCCCGAACTGTGTAAGCTGGTTGTGCCTCATGACAGTGGAGAAGTTAGGGAAACCAGGGAGACCAAGCAATGGAGGGAGACGGGGGCAGGTGGGAGTCAGGCATGGTCCCATCAGTTGAGGAAGGTAGTTTTTTGTTGGTGGTGATGTTTTGTTTGTTTGTTTGTTTGTGGGACTGGAAGGAAGGTAGTTTTTACATAGACGTGAGAGGGATTATTGCAGGCGACAGAACAGAATCTGGAGGAGAAACTAAGAGCTTAGGTTTCTTTGATCCTGCCCAGGGCTCCAGGAACACCTATTCTTAAATCAACTTAAGCGGTGGGGGCTGTCAATTTTCCTTTAATATCCCCACCCTTACTCCAAATACTGTGAATCCTAAGTGGCTGGGAGGGAGGCTGCGGAGGACGAAGTCACCTTAGTTATAAACACTATACCTCACTGGTCCGGGACTGTCAATCTTAGTGCTCATCTCACAAATGCCAGTGAAAAGTCCCCTCCCTCTCACAACATAGCTAATTTCTCGGATTCCTCCCAAGACTTCTCCTCCCGAGTCCTCCCATGGTCTCCCCCAGTCTTTCCATTCCCCAGGGCCACCTACTTGTTGTATAGGACCACATCTGGGAGCCAGATGTGTTTGGAAGGAAGCCGAACTTTCTTCATATTGTCAAACTCCTCGGGCTTCCAGGTGAGGCGATAATCCTCCCACTCCTGGGAAAAGGAGAGAGGGAAGCAGCACCAACCTCTGCCCCAAGGAGGGGCCCAAAGTCAAGAAAAGGGATAAGAGGAGGCTGATACGGTTTGAGGAATTTTTAAAAGCCAGCCTCCTCCCCACAGTGACTTCTCTGCCCAATAAGTGTGGCTCATTTGTGCATTTAATATGCATAGCAAAGCCAGGGTATCAGAATCTACATTTTACAAATGAAAAAATGAGTTTTGGAGAGTTTAAAATCACAGAGCAGGTAAGTGGCCCAACCAAGATTCAAATCCTATTGAGGACTCCAAAAGGACATGCCAAAAAGGAAGAGGAGGAGGAGTGAGAGGGGAGAGGGAGGAATATGGGGGAGAAAGAGGGCGGGGGTGTGGCTGGGAAGAGAACTAACCTGGGTCAGCCAGACATTAGTGGTCATAATCTGCTCCCGCTCATGCTGTGGGAAATAGAGAAACTGCTGAGAAACCCTCCCCACCTCCACCCCTAGCCTGTAAACCTACTGTCACCACTCCTGGCCCCTCCCACCTTGGGAACACTAGATTAGTAAACACAAACATTAATACATTCTGGCTGAGCTGACTTCAGTAGCTGGTCAGAGAGTTTGGGACCCCTACTCACCACACTGATGAGCTGGGCTAGTGATACCATGAGCTGTACCGTCACCAGCTCTGAGCCATTGGTGGCTGGGCGAATAAGCTTGTTGTAGCGGGAGGGATCCAGGAGGTACTCCACCAGCCGCTCCTCTGTGTCTGTACTCCATACCCCTGAGCAAAGCAGGGGCAGGAAGTGAGTGAACAAACAGGAGAGCTCATAAAGGAGCCCACCCTCCCCAGGCAAGTGAGACAATCCATTAGGCCCAACTAGGAGGCTATGGCTTCCTATTGTCCCATCCCTAAGGATACTGCAAAATGCTTAAGTTGCCCCCATGAAGGCCCTCATAGAAAAGCCCCTCTTGGACCAGTGACAAAGACTCTAGATGTCTAGATGAAGAACCCACTCTTCAAGGATTAATGGAGTCCTGGTTTCTCCCCAAGGTCTCAGAGGGTAGCTTCAAAAGGTGTCTGCTCTGAGGCTTCCCCAGCAAATACCTACAATTCACAGGAGGTTTAAGGGTGGTGAAAGGGGAACAGTAGTGTATCCTACTACATACCCTTTCTTCTTAATCAGTGCCCGTTTATGTGTGCAACTAGCATTATGTGCCTCCATAGGACCAACCCCCTTCCTCCACAAGAACTGGGTTAGAGAAGGGTAGTTGGCTTGTCTGCTCTCTGGGTCAGGCAACCATACATACAGGCGTCTACCCACCCTGTGAGATGGCATGCAAGTGTGGAAAGCTCATTCCCTTTGTACTGGCCCCTCTATATATCTATCCCCTTCTGTAACTGCACAACACACCCCTCCTTTGGCCCCCCTCAGAGAGCACCTTCCAGGTCCTCAGCCTGATGATCTCTTCGTTTCCAAGTTCCCTATCCCACCCTACAAGAGGCAGACAAGTCAGTTCCCTCTCCTTTCTGCCTTGTTCCTGTGGGGGGGCCCAAATCAGGAGCCCATTGAGGAGAGTGGGAAATGATGGGGAGCCAAGGGAGAAGTGTTGAACCAGGCAGACTTCCGGAGATAATGTTTCACAAAAAGTCAAATGGCATCTCAAGTCTCCATCAGGATCAGCCCTCCTGCCATCCCAGAAAGCTGGGGAGATCCCTTCCCTCCTTCTCTGTGCTCACATTCTCCCCACCACCAATGGCCGAGTTTTTATCTCTTCCTCCTTAGGGTAGGTCCTCCTTCCAGATCGGTTTCCCAAGTATGAAGTCCCTGGGGTCTCTCCCTTAACCCCAAGCAGGCTCCCGCACCTCTAGGGAATTCCTCCCTTCCACCTTCTGTGCAGGCAGCGGGGAGACAGAGCTCGGTGTTTTGGGCCATTGGCTGGGGTAGGGGAATCTGACCAGTCCGTTCTTACCCGAGCACAGACACAGGAGGCCAAAGCAGAAGAGCAGCGCCATGGGGCTGGAGCGCCAGGCCATGCCGCAGGCATAGCTTGCTGCCTCGCCTAATCCAGCCGGAGCGCGCCGCGGGCGGAGCGCTGTCCGTGGTGCTGAACGGCGCCCAGCGCGTGCTCGCAGCCTCCGGGCAGCCGCGCGGCCGTTCTTGGGGCGTAAGGAGCCGGCTGGAAGGGGGCAAAGCTTCTCGCCTACCCGGGTCTGAGCAGGCGGAGGCTTTTCCGGTTGCTCTGCCAGGGAATACAATCGGGACGGTGAGGGGGAGGAGTCTCTGCCCCGGAGGCGGAAGCGCCGGGTCCCAGGAAAGAAAGGGCATCCTTGGGTGCGCTATTCTTTGACTGGACCTCCTACGGTGGGGTCTGCGTGAGGTCGAAGAAGGGCTGTTCATCGAAGTTTAGGGGGACCTGGAGAGATTTGAGAAGGGTCAGCAGAAAGAAGCAGAAGGAGCGGGCAAGTAGGTCAGGGCCCTCTTAGTACGCGGGTGGGGTGCAAAGAGCCAAATTGAGTTTCTGAGATAACTGCCCTCCTTTTTTCTTTTACTGAGACCAGTGATCCTGCTGTCCAGGAAAGCTAAGGATGCGGTAGAGAAAAAATGCATTTTAGGCCCTTAGACAGGGGCACTGGGTTTGCTATTTTATGAAAGTAAACAGCTTTAGAGTCTTGGAACAGAGTCCCCTAACCTGCCCATTTCTCTATCTCCATTACCTCCATAAACTGCCCAAAAGCCAGGATCCTGCCCTCCCATGGTGGATCTAGCTGGGGAGGTCTAGACTTTCTCTGACAAAAAAAAAAGGTAACCTTGAAGGTTTTGAAGAGAGAAAAAGATCAGCAGCCCCTATCAATGATCCTTTGTCATCCCCACTCGCTTCCACTCCAGTCGTTGTCTTCTCTGTGTCTGGGGAGATCAGGAGACCATTTCACAGAGAAAGAATGAAGCTAACACAAAGGAGAGCAAAGATGAGAGAGGTGTCAAAACTCAATGACATCTTTGATCTTGAAAGCCCTGAACTTTTAGCTGCTAAGCCAATAAAGGCCCTCTTTTTTCTTAAGTGGATTTGTTGTCACTTTTAACCAAAAGATTCCTGACTAAAGCAGACTTATCATACAGCAAAGCTCAGTCTTATTTCATAAACGCCTACTTCTCCGACTTCATCTGGGCCATTCTACCCTGTTTCATACTCTAACTATTTGCAAGGTCTTTAAGATCCTTGGATATTTAATCCCTCTCAATCCCCAGACTTCAGACTTTTAAATACGTAGTTTTCTCCTTTGGCTCTTTTGAAGCTCATTTCCCCCTAACTACCTTCTACTTAAATTTAATATTTGGCAGAATTTCAGTTCCTCAAGGAAGCCGTACCTGTTACCCGTTTCCAGAGCATGTCCAGTGAAATCCTAAAACAATGGCTGCCTCTTCGACTAGATTATGAACCATTTTAGTGCCTGGCATATCTCAAGGGTTTACCAGGTAAGGAAAAAGATGTAGTATAGAACTGACATTTTTAATGTGTAGGTGAATATTCCTGTGTAAAAACTCAGCTGGAAGCAACTTATTTAACACATGGCTAGCTTCGGGAATTGAGGGGAAGCAGCAGTACAAATTCCAGAAAAGGACTGCAGAGGAAGTGCGATGACTTCATGTCCCATAATACACATGGAAGTGGGCATAAATCTGCACCACTAGCTCCAGGGCTCATCGATGTATAATAATCTCTTAAAAAGGAAATCTTGGGCTGGGTGCCGGTGGCTCACACCTGTATTCCTAGCTACTCAGGGGGCACAGATCAGGAGGATCTTGGTTCAAAGGCAGCATGGACAAATAGTTCGTGGTGGGTTCAAAAAAACCCATCACAAAAAAGGGCTGGTAGAGTGGCTCAAGGTGTAGGCCCTGAATTCAAACCTGAGTATCATGAAGAAAAAAAAAAAAAAGAAAAAAAACCTTGTAATCTTGGAACCAAGGAAAGGATTAGAGCACAAAAGCCTATGGAAAGAGGAATGTGTACAATCACTCCACTGCGGAAAAGGTCAAGGGTGAGAAGATCCTCCTTCAACAATTTACTCTTACTTATTCATTTATTTTTGGTGGTACTGAGGTTTGAACTCAGCACCTCACACTTGCTAGGCATGTGCTCTACCACTTGAGCCATGCCCCCAGCCCTCACCTTCAAAAATTTAGATCAGCATTTGTTGAGTATCTTCTATGTGTCGAGAATTGTATAGGTGTTGAGAATGCAGTAATCATAAAGAGTCAGTTCCAGTTATTAAAGAGATCACAAATTAGCACAAATTATTATGCAATATGGTGGCTGTTTTAGGAGAGGAATGAATGAGGTATCATGGAAGCACAGAGGAGCAAGAGGTTAATGGTGCCTGAGGGGCTTGGAGGGAAGAGAGATGAGAGTTGAGATGTGAATGATGGAAAATTCAATGAAGCAAGGATGGCTTAAAGGTATTCCAAACTCCTGAGCAGGACAAGGAGCTTTGGTGGATGCAGGGTGATTAAGAAAGGCTGTGAAAGTCTTCTGTTATAAAAACCTTCTTTTGGGTACAGCACCTGCCTAGCAATCCTGAGGTCCTGAGTTCAAACCCCAGTACCACAAAAAAGAAAGAAAAAAAGAAAGGAAGGAAGGAGGGAAGGAAAGAAAGAAAACTTTTTTCTGGAGTGGTTCCATGTTTCTGAGACTGTGGAGGGGGTCATTTACTTGCTTAAAGCCTTTAGCTATTTTCTGATGCTTCTTTCAGACCACTCCAGACAGCCTGTTCATGTTGTGTTCTCAAATTCTCCAGCTTTTACTTCATGTTTACTTTCAGCTTGGCAAGGAATAAGTCATCTGAATAGAACCACTCAGTGACCAAGGAGGACTGAGACCCCCTCCTTCCTTATGTCTCCCCAACATACCTCTTGCATATCCACCAGGAAGAAAGGCAACTGGGGAGAAAGGACAGGTCCAGAACCACACAGGGTGGTAGAGATACAGAACTATCAATGCTGAGGCAAAACAGGGATTGGGCAAAGTTGTGGTGGCCACTCCCATTGTGGCTAATGGTAAAGAACATTTTCTTCTGAAAGATATTAACATTCATGTCGCTCTTCTTAAGGTGTTTTAAGATTTAAAATTGTGTTAGCAAAGTAATATTGTGTTCATGAAACCAAAGGAAAATACAAGTTAGCAAAACACAGTAAGCACAAAATGCATTCATAATCTTACCTCCCAGGGGAAGAAAATCACGGTTAGCAAACTCACATACCTGTACGTATTTAGATACAGTACTCACACAAAAATACATGTAAGGGTAGATCTAGCTAAATTTTTACAATATAAACACCTAACACCCACCCCTGTGTTACAGGAACAAACATTACCAATATCCAGAGGCCCCCATCATACTCTTCCAGTCATTATTCTCCCTCTTTGAAAGGAACATCATAAGGGGAGGGAAGTGTGGGAAGTGACTTCTTAATGTTCTGGAAACTAGATAGTGGTAATGGTTATGCAGTGTTGTGAATGCAAAGGTTAAATGCTAAATTTTATGTTATGTGTATTTTCCCTCATTTTTTACATGATTAAAAGTGTAAAAAACAAAAAAAGTAACTATCATAAACCACCTGACTTCTAACAGTGTAGGTCAGCTTTGCCTGTGGAACCTTAGATAAATGGAAACAGAATCTTCCCTTTTTTTTTTTTTTTTTAAGGTACTCAGGGTCTTGCACTTGCTAGACAAGTGCTCTACCACTTGAGCCATCCCACCAGCCCCTTTTAGCTTTAGTTATTTTTCAGATGGGGGTCTCATACTTTTTTTCTAGGGCTAATCTCAGACTTTGACCCTCCTGATCTCTACCTGGGATTATAGGCCTGGAACCACCATGCCCAGACCTTCACCTGCTTTTTTAGATAGGATCTCACTGTGTAGTCTGGAACTTACCACCCTCCTGCCTTCACCTTCCAAATGCTGGGATACAGGTGTGTCCTACCATGCCCAGCTGTGTTTTTTTTAAAACATGAACATAGCATAGTGTACTTCACTGTCTCCATTGTATGAACACACTGTCACTTATCCATCCACCACTGATGGATATTTCAGTTGTTTCCTATTTTGGACTATTAAAAAATAATACAAAAATACTGCTATAAATGTTCTTGTCGTGTTTTTGGTGCACAAATATATACATTCCCGTTGGGTACATAGGCACATACATTTTGTTTTTTAAAGGACTACATTGTGATATTGTTTTATAGTCTTCCTTTTTCATTTACTATTTCTCAAACATCTCTCCATACCAGTAAGTATTCTTAGATAACATTTTTTATTTTTGAAACAAGGGTTTCAATGTACAGCCAAGCTCAATTAGAACTCGTGATCTTCCTGCCTCTGCCTCCTGAGTGCTGGGATTACAGACTGATAACTATTTTTAACAGCCATAGAATATGTGAATAAGTGAAATTGCTGAGCCAAAGCTTTAAAGTTTCTGATTATTTAAGAATTTTTGCTAAGTTGACCTCCAGAAAGAATGATGCTACCAAGACTTTCCTGATCCCTCAGGCTACAGCACCAATGAACAACATCTCTGCACTTTTTGCCTATGCTGAGCCCCCTCTTTGTCCCTTTCCCTTCTGCTCTTAAGTCATCCCTCCATTATCTTCAGCCTTCCTTTCCAACCTGTTTCTACTTCTGGGCCCAGTTCTTTCAGTGTCTGTCCATTTCCACCAATGGAACTTCTACTTCCACATTCCTTATTGGCAGTTAATCCTGATTAATACAACCATTCAAGGTCCTTACCCTTCTTTTTTTTCTTTTGGTGGGACTGGGGTTTGAACTCAGGGCTTCACACTTGAAAAGCAGGCACTCTACTGCCTGAGCCCTTACCCTTCTTGATCCCTATTACTGTGTTTGTCACGTCACTGTTTGTCAGTACATTATATCTGGCTCCAGTTCATCCAATACCATGTGCTCCTGAGAGCAGGAACAAGAAGTACAACAAAAATGATGGAACGAACATGAGCTGTCATGTGAGGAACCTCTCCTCTGTGCCACC